CATGTACTCACCATGCCTCAGCCCCCATACATGGTGCCACATGTGTGTGAATGGGTGCAAATAGGTGATAGGACATGTAAAGCGCTTGGAGTGGTCAAAGACTAGAAAGATGCTATATAAGTGTAGTCCATTTATGTGTAAATGCATAATCGCATGAATGCATGCACATACGTGTTCATAGCTATTGCTAATTCGCACTTGTTTATTGTAAAAAACTGCTGTTTTCAGTTCTTCCAGTTTTGGCTGGGCAATATGTTATGTATTATTATTTATTGGTATTAAAGTTGATATCAGGATATGAAACTTTTCCTGCTTTAAAAGGCTGCATTAAAGTAAAGAGATGTAATTTTCTGGTCTTACCAGACTGTTGCAGCTGTTCTATTATTTGCCTTTGCCCGCTTAGTCATTATATTCACATGACTGATGATTGTTTATTAAAAATCTCACTGGGCAGATATTTTGTGAAAGCTCCAATAGTCAACCCGTAGCAGTATTGACATCAAAGTTTGGTCAGAAATACTGTGATATTTGATTTTCTACATATCGCCCAGCCCTACTGCCGGTTAGAAAATCACTGCCGCTCAGTGAAGACAAACGGGCCTAAACATCCTCCCCCTGTCCATATATCTCACTGGGTTGTTGTGTTTTCCAACGGCGTCTAAGCGTGAGGGCTCCTGGAAGTGATTTCGATCCAGATTCCTCTCCTCTTTTGTGTTAACTGACCTGTAACTGTGGGAAAGCAGCAGAGGTATCATCGGTTTCACTATGTGACCTGGCTGTGCATTATTTGAACCCGTCTGACAGGTTTGCAGAGGTTCATGTTATCATCTCTCATAATAGCGAGTTTCTTCACCCTCCTTTAGTGTCGGTTGGAGCCTTTTGTTGCAGGTTAAAGCAGCCTCTGTGTTCTCACAGGGAACAGAGTGATGCTCTGTTGCTCTAAGGTTCACATTCTGCTCTCAGCACTTTGTTGTTGACAGGGGAGGATGCTGTGGCAGGCTGACCTCCCTCCCTCCCCCCCACCACGTCCAGACCTATGCTCCACATTTCTCATCTTTTTTTGTGCTGATCTCTCATCTCTATCTTGCTTTATATGTCGCTGCTTTCATCTCTCTCTCTTCTCTGATGTTTCCACGGGTTCCCTCTCTCCGTCTTTGTCTCTGTCTCCTGCTTCTCTTGTCCATCCGTTCTCCTGTTTCTCTGCAGTGAGAGCTGCTGACCGAGGAGTTTCAGGCCTCTCGGGTGTCATTACTGACATCCGAGCTGGGAGAAAGAGCCTTTTTACTTTCTCTCTCACACACACATGCACATGCACAGTCACACACTCACATAGGCATGCCAAACCTGGCTGCGACACAATAACGCATGGCCAAGTTATGACTGTGGGACATATGGAGTTACACATTTGATTTACTCAGTAGAAGATTGAAAACAGGCTGGCTTAGTTTTTATTATTGCTATAAAGTTGACTGCAGAGCTGTTAGTGGCACAAATATCAGGTTTTCTTCAAACAACTTGCTGATCAATCATCCAGTTTAATATGAAACCAGATTTTCTTTAAGGCTGCCCCTGGCAACATTTTGAGTAATATATACATTTGTCTCCAACTGCAGGAAGTGACAAATCAAGTTCAACATGACATGTAAATCTCTCCCCTGAACATTACTGTAGACTGCCAGCTGTTAGCGAAGACTTTATTTTGGAAAAGAAATCAGAGAAGGAAAAATCTTATGTTGTACCTGTTTTGCCTCTTCTCTGTGGTGGTGTTCCCAAATGCTCACACTCACATGAAACTGACTTGACTCAGTGCAAGAAAATTTTACCAGGCTGGAACTGCTTTGACAGGAAAGAACTTCAGCAGCATATTAAAAGCATAAGATGCAAACTATTCAGAGGAAACCTTCCAATTAAAATATGGATTTAAGTTTTGAAAGGGTCACAGAGCTAATTATTTTTGTATGGCAGCAAAACCCAGAGCTCATTAATTAAAGTAGAAAAAAAGGACACTAAGAGAAAACAAAATGCAAGTTTGGACTTCTGTGAAAACATAACAGCAACTCAGAGAAACTTTTCAAACCTGTGACGCTGAGTGGAATTATGACAATAGCCTTCTCTACTAAACAGTGTTGGGGAGTAAGTAGTGACATGTAATTAAATTACACAGCAAATGAAACTGTAATCTGTTAGTTATTGCGATAAAAATGTAATTGAATTACAGTTATTAATGAAAATGTTGATTACAAAGGGGTTACATCTGAATATATACTTTTAAAAAAGTTATATGTGGAATATAAAATTCTTTCTATTGCTTTGCATCTTTTCGCTGTGCAGCATGCCTTTGTGACAAATTTGAATGCAGCACTCATTGGCCTATAACCCAAAAAAGTAATCAAACAGTAATCAAATCTATTAAGTTACATTACTTTGAAGTAGTTAAAATAGGGTGACCATATTTTGATTTACAAAAAAGAGGACACTCGGCCGGCCACGACATAGCCTACTTAAATGATACTCGCAGTTTACTCAAAGATGCCTTATCATTTTAATATATTTAAAATTTATATGTATGGATAGAAAATTCAGTTATATTACAAAATAATAGCTCTCAAAGACAGAAATTCAGATAGGCCTCTATAGGGGACACATACACACACTAGAGTGTGGCGATCCGAGCCCAACGGTACCCGACGGGTCGGGCCGGGTTTGGTCAAAAATGTAGCTATAAATTGTATTCGGGCTCGGGTCGGATTCGGTCAGCTTTCAGTGAAAATGTACTGTAAAAATAAATAAAATCCTATTGTCTGTCCTGTTTATTGCTTGGGCACTGTTATTTTACGTGACAACACCTGAACATAACACACACAGACACACATTGGCTGTTTGTTTCTTCCTCTCCCCTCGCTGGAAGTCTCGGACCTCCAGCCGCCCGCCTCCGCCTTGATTAAACGCTGAAAATAAAATAAAAGAGGGAGACAGGTTTTTCCTATTTTATCTTATTTTGTTTAATTTCTCCCTCTCCTCTTGCTGGAAGCGTCGGACCTCCCACCTCCCGCTCCCGTCTCAAACACGGAGGTTTCCCTCTCCACTGAGCATGCCCGGCCTGTTAAATAGCCTGTTACCGTAACAACTGTGTGACACAAACTCAGTGCTTTGGTCATTAAATAATGTCGGGCTCGGTTCGGGTTCGGACAGAAATATGCAGCCCGTGCCGCACTCTAACACACACACACAAACACACGGAAAACCGGACATTATCATCAGTTTATAAAAAGCCCCCGGACGCCCCGGACTGGACGTGAAAAGTGGACATGTCCGGGCAAAAGAGGACGTTTGGTCAGCCTAAGTTAAAATAGTTACATTACTAATTACATTTTTAACAGTGTAACTAGTAACCTGTAACCTATTACATTTCAAATCATTTCCCAACACTGCTAGTTAAACGGAACAGTAACATCTAAAACATTTGATATGACTCACATCATTACTCTGCATTCAGAGGATAAGAAATTAAACTTCTACTGGAAAAAATATGGAAACAATAAGATGAGACCAGCTCAGTATCCCAAAACCTGACATGTACACACAAATAGATACATACATGTTGTGTGGTCACCGGAAAAAAATCCAGTCACTTAAAAAACTAGAAAGTTATGAAGACTAAACAGACAGTTTCAGCTTGTCCCATATTTCATAAAAAGTAAAAACCCTCAACAAAACATAGAGAAAGAATTGGTGATTAATGGTTAGTTATTAGAGCAATCCCCCGCAGAAAGATTTGGTATCAACAAAAGAACATATTTGTTCCCAGTTTAACAGAAGTTAAGTTTCTAATAAACTTCCACAATATGAAAAAATGCAGTGAGAAAAACAATAAAACAATATAAAAGTCATCTGGCAGAACTGGGAAGAGAATATATAACCACTTGTCATGATTGTAGTAGGGTATCTCTTTTTAATTCACTCTTAATATAGAAACTTCTTTCTTGTTATGATTCAGAGATGTTATTGTTACACTTTTTTTCTTTGTGACTTTTATGTCTTCATACTGTACGGCACTGTACTGTATGAAAACTTGGAATCAGCTGTTACATGTTGTTTGTTGTTTGATGTTTTTCTTCTTAACTTCAGTGATAAGTATTTGAACAGATAAAAACAGTATGATTCAGACACCAAATGTTTTATTTACATTTGAAATGGTTTTGGCCCCAAAGGGAAAATGAAACGATTAATATTTCTGTTTAGTCAACGTCCCCAGTGTTGGATGACAGGGGAGAATACGTTTAGAACTTTGATTTTGAATTTGTTTTTAAGTCCAAAGAAACGTTGGGTGACTCTCGAGCACAACAGCGCAATTAAGCTTTAATTAATTTGAGAAGCTGTTTTTCTTTTGGCTCTCTGCAGTCTGCTGGTGGTTAGATTGAACAGGTTTACCTGTGATTCATCAGTCCATAGTATGTTCAGCTGATATTCCCTGATCCATTTCCAACACGCTACCTGTTAATTCCAGCTCGTAGTGCAGTCGCTAAAACAGGGACCTGTTCCTCTTTAAATCTGCACACATTTTGATACAAAGCTTCTGGTTTCTCTTACCAGTGACTGATAACTTTTTTTATTCTTAGTAATTCTTATTCTGGTTAAACCATTTTACAGGTTTTTTGTCTTCATCTATAAAATAAACTCTTTATACAAAATAACATTTATTTGGCAAGGTGACTTTCTACAACCTAAAAGCATCAAAGACACTTAAAACCTTTGAAAAGTATTTTATATCTGCACTGGCATTATGTTTTGTGATTATAAAAACATGCCAAAAAGTATCAATTGAAGTTGATACAAGTTTTTTTTTTCTACGTTGATCGGAAATGGACAAAAATGATTTAATCTGGCAGACATGTCAGATGTAGAAAGAGTGGAATAAAAAGCAAAATGTTGATTTAAAAAAATCACCCAGTATTGTTCTTTATATAAAATGTTGTGCGTCTCCTCCTTTGTCTCCTCAGATGACACAGATGGGCCTCCTGCTCCGCCTGCTGCAGAGCACCAGGTGAGAAAGAAAGAAGGCAGACACAGAGCACCTCACTGTTTCAATGGTGTCGGTAAAATGCTTTTTATTATGGAAATTAATTACATATCAGTTATTACAAGACCTTTATTTGTCACAAAAGGTTTTCCCAGGTGACATAAACTAGATTTTACACATTATTAAATTAATTTCACCCTTATTTTTAAACATGGAACAATGTTTTGACATTTAATACAGTGGAAGCTGCTCATAGTGATCTTGTCTGTGCTGGTCAAATTGATCTCTAAAGACTAAAGAAGGATGATTATTATAATCAAGTTTTTATTCTTTATTTGTCAATGCAAATGACTATCTAATTGAGATTTGTGTGTTGATTACATTATGTAATTAAATGGGACAGCGTTGCTTATTACTGGATTTAATTGACTGTTTCAAACAGTCATTATGTGACCGGCATTATCAGGGCTTCAACCACAGGTGCTTTCACAGTGCATATTTGTTTTCTGTCTCTGTCACTAGCAGCTGTTATTGTTTCTCATTGTTTGACCAGTCTACACAAGGTAGCGTGAGAACAACCAAGTTTGGCTGCTGCATAAGCTTCGAGCAGCACTAGCCTCAGGGGGCCAGCTGGAAGTAGATGAGCTCTTGCAGGGCAAAGTATCATTGGAGTAAAGTTAGAAAAAATAAATAGATATTAATGAATTAGGCTACTTGATTAATTCTATTTATTGCGTCCTAAGCTTTTTGATCATATAAACTGTTGTTCACTGTATCTGTGATCACTGTAAGCCGTCTCCACTGTACTGTACTGTAGGTTTTGTCTTAGATATCGATCGTTGGATGCTTACTGTTAAGGATACAAGTAGGGATGGCAATAGAGAACTGGATCCAGTTGAGTACTGGGTACAAATAGTCAAAACTATTGAAATCATACAGCCACAAGCTTATCAATTCCTTTTATGGATGCTGACATTTGCGCATTACTAAACAATGGTGTCAGACTTATGTGTCTGTGCTGCTGGAAACTTGCAACAAGACAGAGATGACAACAGTGCTACTTGTAATGTCTGTAAAATGACAAATACATGTGGAAATACCAGCCATATGCTCAAACATCTTCTATGCAACATGGGCTTAGAGATCAGATATGCCATGTATTTGACACTCCCTGCACGTGTGCCACTTCTTCCCAACCAAGCAGCACGTCCGTAACCGAGGGTAAATATCCTGTTATAATAACAACAGCGCCTCGCAGCTACTCTGTGTTCAGACTCAGATATAAGAAAACAGTTGCACTGGTGCTGAAAACGTGTGTAGGCCCACTTTTTTTCCACACAGAAGATTGATTAGGAATCAATAAAGAGCAAGACCAACAAATAGTATTGATAGTGGCACTCGTATCAACAAAATCTTATCGATTCTCATCCCTACAAGAGAGCTGGATGGTTTAGAGAACAAATTTCTGTCAGCTACTGCCAGCACTGCTATGTATGTGTATGAAAGGCCCTTCAGCATGGTCTCACATGCTTGATCGTCTTGATCAATCAGACGCACCATAAAGAGTCTTTAATGTGAGACTAAATGTTCTGTTTGAGTACATTAGTTTGCATCTGTCTAGGTGTTTGGCAGGATCATGACAAACTTGGTGTTGGTAATGTTTTGGTAAAGAACAAACTGTTTACTATTGCCCTGTTGTATCTCCTCATTCATCCTTCAGCTGGTCCAGTCGCTGGGTGTGGCCATCTACCGAGCTCTGGACTGGGGACTGGATGACAGCGAGGAGCGGGAGCTCACCCCCCAGCTGGAGAGCCTCATTGAACGCATGGCTGGGGGGGAGCAGGTTGGAGAGGGTGACAGCACCGCTGGGAACGGTACTAAAGATGAGGGGTACAGCGGCCAGGAAGAGGAGGAGGAGGAGGAAGAGGAGGAGGAGCAGGAGGGAGCAATAAGGCCGGTGTGTACATTCCGCCAAGTGATGGCGCTGTGTGCGTCTCGGCTGGCTAACCCGAGCTTGGCTCCGGAGCACTACCAGGCTGTCTGCAGGGCTCTGTTTGTAGAGACTCTGGAGCTACAGACCTTCCTCATCAAGATCAGAGATGCTAAGGAGGTACATTAAGTTGTCTTTTCAATAGAACACCTGTTTGCTTGTGAAATAATGTAGCTGAAGACATGTAGAGAATAAATGGAGGAGAACGGATGCATGACCTGCTTTTCAGCCGTGGACTTTCACTGCTCCTGCCTTCAGTGGTCTGCACCTCGCTCTGTGTGTGCACTCTTTGAATACAAAATGCTTAAAGCCCTGCTCGATTAATATTCTTGTTTACATGCTACAGAGCAGAGACTAAACATCTGAAGATGCCACCTCCACAGTATTTTTTAAGTGCTCAGCTTCGAATCTAGACTCCTGTTGTGTCACTGCAGTGGTTTACCCTTGTTAAACTTTTTATACATGTACAGGTGGTACGCTCTGTCTCATTTAGCAGATGGATATCTAGATGCTGCATAAAAAGTCCAGTAGAGAGTCATAGTTTGATTAAAATGTATGCTGTTTATCTGTTCTTTAACAATGCAACAATAATTTGAACGCTCCACAGTAAGTCAGGTATGGAGTCATTTGGGTTAAGCAGACTGAGGATTCATTCCTTTATGACAACTTGGGTCTTATTTATAGTTTGGCCATTACTTCCATCAGTAATAATGATATTGTATTCACCAAATGTTTTATAGATACCCTGACTTTCCTCTCACTGAAACATGTGTGTTTGCTTCAGGCCTAACCACGGCTCCCCCCAGGCACCATCAGGACTCAACTATTGCTCTGTCCAAGTCAAGTCAATCTTTATTTATATAGCACATTTCATACACAAGGCAACACAATGTGCATTACAAATTACAATACAATCACAACACAGTCATAAAAGTGCAAGTGCAGAAGAGAAATATGCACACTCACACACACACACAAGGAATTTAACCATAGGCGGTTTTAAAAAGTAAGGTTTTTAACCTGCTTTTAAAGGTGTTCAGTGTGGGGGCCTTTCTCAGGTCTTCAGGCAGGGGGTTCCATCTTCTTGGGGCATAAGTGCAGAAGGCAGCATCTCCTGCTTTAGAGTTAGTACGTGGGATGGTTAAAAGACCACTGCCTGTGGACCTTAGAGTTCTTGCTATTTTGTATCCAATCAGCATGTCTTTTATATACTGAGGTGCAAGGCCATGTAGAGCTTTGTATACTATTAATAAAATTTTAAAATTGATTCTGGTTTTGACAGGTAGTCAATGCAGGGATCTAAGAACAGGTGTAATGTGTTCAGACTTTTTAGTTTCGGTAAGAATGCTTGCAGCTGCATTTTGAATTAACTGTAGTCGCTGCACAGCAGATTTTGGGAGGCCGGTGAGTAGACCATTACAGTAATCTAGTCTGCTTGTTATAAAAGCATGGATTAATTTCCCAGAGTCTGATTTTGATAGAAAGCCCCTTAGTTTGGAGATGTTTTTTAGATGGTAAAAGGCTGATCTTGTGAGATGATTGATGTGGCTCTTAAAATTTAGATCACTGTCTATGATCACACCCAGATTTCTAGTTTCACTTTTGCTCTTCAGAGACAGAGAATTGAGATGAGCTGCAATTCTCTGTCTCTGAGCCTTTGCACCAAAGATGAGTATTTCTGTTTTGTCTTTGTTCAGTTCTAAAAAATTCTCTGACATCCATAGATTAATATCTTCAATACACTGAGTTAGGGAATGTGTGGGATCTAGGTCATCAGGAGATAGGGATATGTAGAGTTGTGAATCATCATGCATAATTATGGTAATTTATGTTGTGTTTCTATATAACGTGTGAGTGGGAGCATACAGAGGTTGAATAGTAGTGGTCCAAGAATTGAAAATTCTGAATGTCCAAACTGCACAAACACCAGCCACACTTAATATATTGATAATCACTCATGACTGCAGTTTAATTTTGTACAAATACAAGTCAAATAATTATTGTAAGATCATAGTGAAACAAACATGTTCTTTGCAGAAACTGCATCAACAAAAGGTACAAGGCGACTAACTTTAGGCCAGTGTTCATCTCTCTTACACATAATGCACACATATGGACACTTACACACACAAATACATACATACATACATACATACATACATGAAGGTGAGCCCTTTGCTTTATAAGTTCCACAAAGTTTAAATGGACACAATAAAAGGGAGCACCAATGTCCAAAAACAAAAGTCATACACATGCAATTGAAGTCCATTCCTACCTCTAAAAAGTCTTCCTCCTGGCTTTACTCACAGCAGGGCACAGTCCCTGATAAGGGCTTCAACAATGTCACTTTCCAATTATGTTAACTAGCTTAGCTAATGTTACAGTTCAAATTCCATCTTACCTTAGTTAGCTAACTCCCTTAAGACCTAGCCTGCTAGATACCTAACTTTTGGAAACAGGTGGCACTTGCCAGTGTCGTGCCAAAAAGTGATTGTCTGCCAAAAACATATTCCCGTCCATGGGCACCCCTGCAGCCTGTTAAATCTGTATCGCCCAGTTTATTCGTCTACAACCCCCAGCTACCAGCCCCAGAGGTTTCCACTTGTTTACAACCTGTCCGATCATCTGTCCTCGTGGTTGTTGCCCCTTGAGACCTTCTTTTAGCAATGTTGTTGCCATGTTCCAAGATCGGCAATTACTTTGGTGTTTACAGAACAAATCATATAGTTATGGAATATGGTCGTAGATATAAAGGGCAGCCAAACTTGCTGGGAAGAGATACAAAGTTGAAGAGAAAAATCATTACTCAAATTGTCCGTAAACAGCTCACAGACCAACTTCCTGCTTAAACTTTGACCTGCTGTACTTGCCGTAGGTGTGTGTGCACATGGTTTTTCATTTGGATTATAATTGACACTTTGGGTCTCACTTTTGTTTTTGTTTTTTACTGAAAAATAATGTTATATATGCTGAGTGAATCGGGTTAATGCCACTACGTGCAGAATTATAATTACTATTTTAAGTTACTGAGTACATCCTCTTCAGATCTTGTATTTTGCACCTGTGGCTGAAAAAAACAATGTTTAAAATGTTACTGTTGTCACTATTTGTTGCACAGATGCTGAGGAAGATCACAACAGAGGAAACGCTGGAAGACAGGTCTACCGCAGAGCTGGACGCATTGAAGCATAGAGACTGGGTGAGACGAAACGAGCAAGGGCGCAGCATGACAGGGAGGACAATACAACAGTGTGTTTGACTGAAGAAGGCAGTGTTGTCGTGTTGACGCATGCAGATGTGTGTGCTGTTGTTTCCATCCTAGGCACGTTTGTGGGTGCAGCTGATGAAGGAGCTCAGACAGGGAGTGAAGCTGAAGAAGGTGCAGGAGCAGCCGTTCAACCTGCTGCCCACCGAGTTCAGCCTCACACCCTTCGAGATGCTGATGCAGGACATACGAGCTCGCAAGTTCCAGCTACGCAAAGTCATGGTGAGAGACAAAACTTAGTTTAAAATAATCAAGCCAAGCATTAGATATGATGTAAATATGAAGATATGAAAGCAGTTAAAACATCTGTGCCATGAAAGCAGTTGAAATTGTCAGCTGATTAGTAAACACTGAAAGCAGATGACATGTCAGTCGAAGAGTAAGAGATAAAAGCAGTTGAATTATAAACAATTAAAACAATTTCAATTTCAGTTGTAGATTAAGTGACAGAGATAATGGAAGTGTCTGCACTGTAAACCCGGTAATAATAATAATAATAACTTTATTTATATAGCATCTTTTAAAACTGTGTTACAGAATGTTTCACAGATTATATGAACCACCAAGTGCTGATTGGTTTTGATTTAAAAGAATAAGGTTGCAAGACAGATTTCTACAGAGAGACTGCTCTAGAGTTTTAAGGCCCTGACAGCTTTAGTCTTAAGTGTAGATCGAGGGACTGTTTGTAGATTTTTGTCGAACAATCTGAGATTGCGTGCAGGTAGATAGGGGCATATAAATTCACATATGTACAGTATCTCACATAAGTGAGTACACCCCTCCCATTTTTGCAAATATTTCATTATATCTTTTCATGGGACAACACTATAGAAATGACACTTTGATATAACTTAAAGTAGTTAGTGTACAGCTTGTATAGTAGTATAGATTTACCTTCCTCTGAAAATTACTCAAAACACAGCCATCAACATCTAAACAGTTGGCAACATAAGTTGGTGGTGAATTTCAAGAGAAAATAAATAAAGACATGAATAACTTTCCTTAAGTCAGAGAATGTTAGATCATTAGATGTTGAAAAAGCAGGACTTAACTCCCTAAATTGACATCTTGTTGAAAGTTTAATTGGAATCAAAGATAACTCCTAGATTTCCAGCATTGGACTGAACAGAGGGCCCCAAGTTCTGGCACTTATCATTGAATACGGAAGTGTCTAATAGCCCCAAAACAATACAATTTCAGATTTTTCTTTATTGGGGTATCCTGGTTATATAGACATAGAGTTGAGTGTCATTGGCATAACAATGAAAAGAGATTTTATGATTGTGAAATAATCTGCCCAGAGGAAACATTTACATACAGAACAGAAAAGGACCCAGGACAGAGCCTTGGTGTGCTCTATGGTGCATAATGGAGATGAACCATTTCAGACCAGTGTCTGTAATTTTTTCTAATTAAGGTACTGTGATCAACTATATCAAAAGCAGAACTTAAGTCAAGTAGGATCAAGCCAGACCCTTCCCCAGCATCAGCAGCAAGGAGGAGATCAGTGATCACCCTAAGTATAGCAGCGTCAGTGCTGTGTTCTTCTGGAAAGCCAGACTGGAACTTTCCAAAAATATCACGTTGGCTCATGTGGACAGTTAATTGTTTGTAGAAAATCTTCTCTAGGTTAATTGACTTGTAAATGCTGAAAGCAGCTGAAACGTCAGTTGTAGAGTAAGCACTTTACAGCAGTTGAAATGTCAGGAGAGGTCTTAAAGGGGCTAGAGGCGAAATTCAAAGCCTATGAGTTGTGTGGACACAGTTCTCAACATGGAGGTGGCTGAGCTGGCGGCTAGCAGCTAATGGTGCTAACTCCATTAACAGCTCTAAACATCAGCAACAGTGCTCACAGAGCTAACAGTGTCAGTTGGGGGTAACTGGAGGGTGGCCAACACGCCTCTGTGACAACACTGTCCCAGTGTCAGCTGTAACCACAGAGTACAGTGCAAAGCATCAGCGATGAGCTAGTGAGTGGGATACACACATGCACTAATATACACATGCGGCAGGACCGGCTTACCACAACAAAGAAGAAGCTGGGATAACAACACACACAGAGGTGGTGTGACTTTAATCTCTGCTCAGGACACCATTACTCCACTATATTTTTACATAGTAAACCATTTATTTGCTGCTACGTTAACACTCTGAATGTTGCATACAAAACCTTGTTGACAGCAGCGAAATTGAAGATGTTGCAGAGGAAATATTTCGAGATTGTTCTTTCGTTTGTGAAACCCAGCAAGAAATGCTTTAATTTTCAATTCACTTTGTTCAAACGGGGCACGAGGACACTGAGGGCAGACAGGAGTGAGACTGTGTGAGACTGTAACACCTGTTTGTCATTCGAAGACCTTGGAGCTACTGTCCTATTTTCAGGCAGTCCGCTGCACCATGTACTGTACAGGCTTTGTTATAGTTAGAAAACATTATGTAGCAGGCATACATGAGGCAATCACCTTGAGGCCATCTCCACGGGCAGATACATAATTCAGCCTCAGAACACAAATATTAATGAAGATTTCTCTCGGCCTTCTGTCCTCACAGCAGCCAAAATCATCAGCCAACTCTGCAGTTCCCCTCAGCTTCAGCTCAGTTTCTTTAAGCTTCTTGTCTTGTTTTACAGCCTCAACTTAACTGTTTTGGTTCAGTCTAACAACTCTTATCAACTCCTATTAGGCTGCTGTTATCAGTGAGAAAGCTCTGATAAACCCACTGTACTGTGGCTGCTTAGCACTACATGCCAAAGTTAGCAACTAGCTGGTGAACATAGAATTTAGCAGCTGAAGAGCACTATATTTATTTCAAGGATTTGTGGAGACCAAAATAGGGCTAAAAGTAGACTGCATGCTGGATGTGCCAATGGTAAATATACTAACATGTTTGCCATATAAACTTTATCAGGAGATAATATGTCAGTGTTATGTTAACAGTTTTTAGCATTGCTACACTGCTCACTGTATGATGTACAGACACAGTACTACAGTTAGTGTGGTGTTTCTTGTATTACTCAGGTGGACGGTGACATTCCTACCAGAGTGAAGAGGAATGCCCATGAAATGATACTGGATTTCATCAGATCAAGACCTCCACTTAAACCAGTGAGTGGGTTTCACCTTCTGATAGAAGTTGACCACAGCAGTGTGAAGAAGGGTTCATGTGTGCATTTTTTTTTTCATTTACAGTATACCCTGAAACCCTGAGTGTAAGCAGGCAGGTAGAAGAATACTTGTATTGATAAAAGTCTAGTTTTTTGGTTGATTTGTTGGCAAACAGGATTAACATGGTTTGACAGACAAATACAGTTGGTTGCCATATTGGTTGCCAAAACTGAAAATATGGTTGCCATTTTTAGTCACCTTATATTTTGAGTATAAAGATAGTATGCAGTTATATGTCAGCTTAATAATGAAAAATGTGACATAAAAGAATGTTTAAAAGCTTTATTACAGTAACCAAGCAACCCTCTTAGTAGTTTGTGTTTTATCTGATTATATTAGATATCTGGTCATATCTCTTTATTTAAGGTTCATCTTGTTCTTTATCAGTTCAATCAGTTTGCAATTTGTTTGTGATGTTGATGGTTAGTCGAACTTTAAACAGTCAAACAGCTTAATTTGCTTCGTTGAAACAGGGTTCCCTGTGCATCATTCAACAGCATGATACTCAGGGACAGAGACTTTCCAAGGGAGAAGAAAGGACTGGAACACACTGATCAATTTATTGACTTCAATTCTTTTTGCACTTATAAAGCTTGTGAATTGATCAGCGCAGTCCTTTCTTCTCCCATGGAAACTTGATTTACCATTGTCTCTAAAACAGATGCCTGAGCTCATGCCAGTAAACACACCAACGCACATACAGCGATGTCTGGTTCTAGTTCTGACTAACAGCAATATTTAAATATCACTAATGCAAAAAATATTCAAAATTAATTTATTTTGGGGTGCATGTATTGTTGTTTGCTGTCCCTGTTTTTTTATGTTAGAGTGGTTACCATTTATGGCAACCAAAGGCTAAGTACTAGGAGCCAATCTCTCAAAATGGGTGCCAATTGCAAATTGGCAGTTTTTGTTTTCAGTGTTACATCAGTTTATCAGGCATTTTATATAGTGAGTCAGCTGTGTTCATCACTGATATCATGACTATGGTGATAGTTGCTTCATTACATTGTAACGAATTATATTCAAACTGTATTACTGGGGTTTTACCATAATAATAACTGTATTGTTTGACCCAGTCAAAAAACATTTGAGACACTTTGAATGGGTGGTCACATCATATCTTTAAATCTTGGCACCTTTTTCACCCATACCTGTATGTACATATACATACAGGTATATGTACATACAGGTATGGGTGTATGTACATATACATATCCCTCAGCCCATACATCTTTAACAATTGTTGTGAACGTGATATATTAAGAGCGCATTAAGGGAATTTCTTCAAATTTGAAAAAAACCCATCCACTTTGACTTAACGATGAAGTGATTAGATTTTGATGGCCAATAGTCAAGTCAAAGTCAAAGTCATTGTGACTTTACATTTGTCTCATTCTCATGAACAAGATATCTCAAAAAGGCCTTGAGGGAATTTCCTCAGATTTGGCACAAACATCCTCTTGGACTCAACGATGAACTGATTAGAATCTGGTGGTCAAGGGTCAAGGTCACTGTGACCTTCCAAAACACGTTTTTGGCCATAACTCAAGAAATCATACACTAAATATGACAAAATTTCACATAAATGTCTAATGGGATGAAATGATGAAGTTATTGCATTTTATAATCAAAAGGTCAAAGGTCAACTTCACTTTGACATCATAACATTCTGCAAAAACATTTGTCTGGCCATAATTCAAAGCCATATCTCAGGAACAGAAGGGGAGACATTTGGTCAGATACTGAATTGGTGACACTAATCTTAAGTCTCCATATTGAAACTGTGCTGATTGTATAGATCTGTGCTGCCAAGGGGATAGAAGTGTATGAAGCATCCATATATTCACAGACATAGATGTAAACTCTAACTGCAGCTTGACTGGTTTGTGGAGGAATACAACCATGAGGCGGTAATTCTAATCTGAGATTGCCCAGAAGTATGGATATGTTCTAATTATTCCTCCTCATTAGGTTTCAGAGCGCAGCCTTCCGCCTCCTCCACCGCAGCAGCAGTCCCTCCATGACCAGGTCCTGGCTGAGATCAAGCAGGAGAGAAAGCTCAGGCCTGTATCCCTGCCCAGCTCCAGATGTAAGGGGACAATCATTCACCATTGTGTTTTTTTACCCAACTATAACTAAATTAAAGCTCCACCACAGGTCACATCACTATTTAAGAACTAAATGCAAAACATAAAAAATGTAAGTTCTCAGAGCAGACCCATATGAAGAAATGTATGTTTGTCTTTATTAAACACAACATTTTATTTGGTTACGATAAAAGTATTTTTTTCCAATTGTCCTGTGGTGCTTTGTAGAACTGAGAGCAGACTTTGTTTTGTTTCCATTAGACAGACACAAAAGTACTTAAAGATAAAATAGTCTAAAATGGTGTATTGGCTGTCAGTGGTGCCAGAAACTTTTAATAGGGGTGGCCAGATGGGGCCATAGAAAGTCTCAAAAAACAAAAGCCATAACTAAATTTCTGTAATTTTGTTGTGTTGTTGAAGTATAAAAGCTAGTTGAAGCAGCAATTCTATCAAGGTGCCACTGCTGTTTGTACGCATTTGTTAACATCAAAAACAGTTGGATGGTGCCTGGGGAGAAGCATTACGTATGGTGATAGTGGAGTAAAAGCTAAGGTCTGGTCGCTGCGTCTTCTCCCTGTGCCAGTGTGTTTTTCTTTTTAAAGTCATTGCATGACTTTCAGTGTTCTTCTTGCTGTGCTGTTCACAAAGCAAATGTTACAGTGAAGGTGAGCGGACCACCCATGTTGCTAAATAATTACTTTAGGGCTGATGCTCTATGCTCTATGCTCTCTATGTCTGTACATTCTGTACTGTAGTCTGTGAGGGTAACACTACAGTCAGGCACTGTATACTAGTCTGTAAGCTGTAGTGTGTAACAAGAGTATTTTTCCATTTAGAGATACAGTACATGTGGAGGTGGCGTTGCATTTCATAAATATTGACCGGCTATTTGCAGATCAAGGTCAGTTGATTTCAGTGTGTGGGCCGCTGATAAAGGACTTTTCACACTGCACATCTAAAGAGCACACTGACTGAACAGATATCTGGAAATTAATTATTAGTCTGAATTATCATTGATACTATTAATGTATTGTTATTAATATGATAATTGCAACCCGTTTTGTAGGTTGACCTAACGGGACAGTTGTTTTATAATCTGTGCAGGAAAAAAACCCAACAGTAACCATGGTAAAATCATTCCCCTTGCCAGAAAGATTAAAGATGCATTAAGCGACCTGGAAAATTTCAGTTATCCAATAATAACTCTCTTTTTCACTCTTTTGCTCGTCATCAGCTCCTGAGGGAACTATATGACGAACTATGTTCTTCAATTAGCTGCTAACTTTGTCCGCTGTTTGGTGCTGGGAAGGTGAGACTGAACCAGAACAGTGTAGCTGTGGACTGTAAAACCAAAACAATGAGCTGAAAGATGCTAAAAACTTTGTAGAGCTGAGAGTAACTACTGAGTGGGGTGATAATTTTCTGTGGATTTGTGATGATGAGTGACCTCATTTGCCTAACATAGTCAACTGACCCATTGGTAATCTAAATCTAATAATGCAGTGCAGCTTTACATTATGTTTGTACTGTAAGAAGGGAACACTCTTTCTGCTTTTTGCTGTAAAGCAATTCAACACATTTTGCTCCAAATATGACTCACAACAACATTCAGTAAAGTCAGTAAAATGCTACACAGCAACTGTTCCGACACTGCAACATAGCTCTTCCAATATTGTTGGTTTACAGTATTAACTTTTGATTGTTAACTCAAAATGAGTGTGTTCATAAGTTATTGATGCTAAACCATTACACAGGGTACATCTCATCTCAGTGCCCTCTGATCTCACTGTTTCTGACTTATTTGTTTGCTGAAGGTGTTTCTGGTTTCTCTTCACTCAGCATTTGGCTCTCTGCCCTGCCTGGCTCAGACTTGTCCTTGTAACGTCAAATCAACTTCATGCATCGACCTGTCCGTGTCGGAGCCAGGCCCCCGGCAGCCGTCCCGCCCTCGTATCCTGCTCAAGGCTCCGACTTTGGCTGAGATGGAGGAGATGAACATATCTGAGGTGAGGGCAGACAGGGAGGGGTTGAATAATTGGAATCATTGTTGGCGTCTCTTAGGACTGACTGGTGCTTTTCACAGTAGAACATGCTTTGTTTCCCAGCTTAAGTGGGTTAAGATGCCTCTGCGCAGTTTCAGAATAGCACAGAGGGTGGAAAGCGAAACACTGATTGAGATGAATCTTTTTTTGCACAAAGACTCAACAACTTGGAAAAATGTATTTTTCCCCTCTCTTGTTATGTTACCCAAATGAACCAATTTCAAGCAGATTGGAGTTTAAGTTCTTCAGATAGTTCTTGTAGAAACAGCTGCTAAATAATAGATAGACGTTATCTCCTTTCAGTTGGAGAGGAAAAGGAATTAAGGTGTAAAATGATCACTTGAGGGTGTGCAGTACTGCAGTAACCCTGACTTTTCTTTTAAGAGCTGCTTTGCATTTTTGTAACTGCCAAGGTAATTGTTATCTTAGCAATCCAAGCAGAACTGGACTTTATTAAGTTAGGAAACTGCTGTACTTGTGGTCAATGTATGATATCTCTATGACTCGGTCTGCATATTGTGTGGCCCCAAATGGAAACTGTGAGAAAGCCGAGCGAGACTGAAAACCCCTTAAATGACAGCAATTCAGTTTCAGTCCAGAGGGCTGTTTCATAAACCAAGATTACCAGTTAACCCACAACACCTCTTCCCTTCCCCTCTTCCTTAACCCTTCCTCTCCTTCTCCATCCCAGGAGGAGGAGTCCCCAGACAACGGGGAGCTGAGGAGGGCAGAGAGCTCCCCAACACCTCTGAAAAGAGATCGCTCCTTCTCAGAGCACGACCTGGCCATGCTCCGTGCCGAGATGCTGCCTTCGCTCTCTGAGTCGGGGCAGCTGGTCGGGGCGGTCAGGCTGAGGGGTGAGAGGCCTCGTTCCAGGACGCTGACCGGTGCCGGGCCTCCTCCTTATCACAGAGGTCAGTATGTAGAAGCAGACTGATCATCCGTGGTAACAGTTCATACTTCAATTTATAAATGATTACTTCTATATAGAGAGCAAATATACAAACACAACACCCTCTGATTTCATTTTTAGATCAAAGCTGGTCATGGAATTCCTTCAGTATCACAGAGATTAGAGAAATCGCGCACTGAAAATAGGAAACTGATATTGGAGTCTAATTGCTCCACACATTCATTAGATGGAGGTTTTTGACTCATCAGTATAACCAGATATCAATAGTGGGAAACTTTTACAAACACTACAGTGTGTACATCCACAGAGGCTCCAAAGTCTATATACCTATGACGTCGGGATAATTTTCAAGTTTAGTCAGTTTTATTTTATCAGGATGAGCAACTTGAGATGTATCATGTCATATTCAAGGGGGCCCCACTAATGACCAACGACAGGGTATGAAATTAACAAAATATTTTGGGGGCAATTTTGGCCCCCACGGTCTAAAAAATGGGGGCATTTTCAAAATGTTTGGGGGCCATCAAAAAATTGTAATTATGTTCTAACAATAAGCACATGAAAAGCAAAACCAACTAAGATAGTATCTTCACTCTTCAGTAGAAACCTCTATAAATGAAATAAATAATGGGTTACATAAAGTTATGATTGCAAAATATCACTCAGATTTCCTATAATTCAACCAGTTTAAATGTGATGATTTAACCATTAATCTACTGATAGCAGTACTAATGTTTCACTTATGTTAAATTAATTTAAAATTTAACATTCATTCTACCTTAATTTTTCATTAATTTGTCATTGTGTAGACACAGATCACCCAAGAAATGGTTAATTTATACTTATGGTACAGGAAAGCCCCCTCCCCTTCTCTGTCAGATTACTCTCACGTAATCAGTGCAATCTCGTTGATTATGTCTGGAAAATGAGTTGTAGACGTGACGGTAAATTAATTTAATGAAAATAAAATTATACTTTAATGTCAGATTGTAATACTGTTAAAAATATAAATACTTATAGTTGTTTCGAAAACTTGGGGGCAATTTTGGCCCCTGGAACATGGCTTTTGGGGGCATTTTTTGATAAATTGTGGGCCAAATGGCCCGTGGCCCTTGCTAATTTCTGACACTGACCAATGAGTGAGTCACCCTAACTACACTGAGCTTTGTCCATTTTAAAGCATCATATTGCCATAGCAACATGCGCGAGCCACTTCCCATGAGAGTTTTGTGAGATTGCATAGACTAGCTCTGTGCATGTCATCTAAATTAAATTACTGCACAATGATTCACAGTGAAATTCACAATGAAATATGGATGTTAGGCAGCAAATCAGCTTTGCTTTCAATCAGATAAGTTATGAGAAAATCATCTGACATATCATAAACACATGATTTTTTTCATGGTTATCCAAATATGCCATGTACAGAACTCAGTGAAGATGAGACAAAATCTATCAAAGGACTGCTGAAGAAGTTTGCAGAACATCTATTCAGGTGCGAGCAGTCCTACATAGTAACACATTAAGAGGGGAAAATAAGAAGGTGAAGAAAAAGTTGAATAGACTCTAGACATTTTTCCTGTCAAACAAAAGCATGACTAACAGTGTTATAAAATGCTGCTTCAGCCATGATATTGTTAGTATTCATCTGGGCTTCTCCTGCTATGAAAGGTCAAAGTGTCTGCGGTGAAGAAGACCCATGACTGATTCATTCGAGAACAACAACATGTGTGCTCTCATTATTGTTATTATATATTTATGTAGAAAAAAAACATGTTCAGTACAAGATGGATATTTTTTGACAGGGTAAAAAAAAGAAAAAACAGTGATGCTCATTAAGCAAACATGTCAGTCAAATTCAAGATATAATGAAGCTCATCATGCACTTGAGGTCACTCTCAGTGTCGCAGGAGAGCCTGACAGCTTTTGTGTGTAAAACATCTGGCACTTTCACCAAGTTTCATTTTGTGAAAACTTCTGAAAGGAAAAATCAGGTGATGGTCTGGATAGTCAAATTTAGATAAATTCTCCTCGGCTCATTGTGTTACTAGTGTCTCCAGTCTTATCTCTGAAAGACCTGCGTGACTGCCAGTGATCTCAGATGACATTACTGGTTGTGGCATGCTCATTTTTACATTTAGCGCTCTGACATAGCCATTTTTAAAAGGGTTCCTTAACATCTTACCTCAAGATATCAGAATGCAAATGGGCTCTACTGATTCCTAAGAGTCTCCCCTATACAAACATGCCTACTTTACTGTATGCTATTTTTTTGCACACAGTATACATGTGTTATTTTCACCTATTCTTTTTAACACTGGGGTCCTTAATCAGTTTTGGAAATGCATCAATTAGGTATGACTCGAAAGCTGAGACTATTATGGAGTTACGAGGCCAATTTTATTCATATGTGGTGATGGTAGTTCCCATAGTAGCCATTTTATTGCAGTGAGACAATTTCTTTTTAAACTTGACATCACTGTATAAAATAACCTACTGTGATCTCGAGGATAATCACAGCCTCATGAAACTTCACAACAACAATTTAGAGACCTCAGGCATTCAGAGGCTGTGTGACTGTCATAAGTATATTGACAATAATGGAGTTTTCTCAGCAGTTTCCAGAACAGAAGTGCTTACTATCCAGCCACTGAAAAAAAATGTAATTCCCCAAAAGTCAAAAGCTTTTGATACCAAATCACAGCATAGTTTTTTTATATTGTGCTTCTCAAGGTCTTGTTTTTAATCATGCATTTTAGGGGATTTTTTGACCATTTTCCTCACTTCTCAAGTGGTAAAAAATGCTTAAATTTACCAGCAAATCTGTGTAACAAATGGTACCAACCCAAAAGTGGCTGCAACAACTTATGAGACATATTTGGGAATGTTCTAAGCCCCTATAGACTCTAAACTTTAAAAGTTGGAATAGGTGCCTAAAGTTCTCTTGTCTGTGGTGGCTCTCTTAATTATTGAGGTTGAAAAAAATGCTATCACTTTATGCACAGAGGAGGGCCACAATTTTTTTTCAGCTTCCAAATGGAGGGTATGATAGAAAAGCCCCAGTATTCCAAGAGAAAGAATTTTACTTCTCGAATTGTGAGGAAAAAAATATAAAGTGCATTGTAAATGAACACATGGTGGCACTGCTGCCACAAAAAAAAGTCAGACAAACATCAGTTGTTACAGTTTGCTCATGGCCTAACACCAGATGTCATTGAAAGGAAGCTCTCTGTCACACCGTCATGTTTCACTGCGACACTTAGCAGAACCAACATTAAGGTTATCAGTAACACCTGTGCTCTCATACTGTGACAAGTCAAAATGTCTCATGCAAAAAAGTGTTTTAACTATAATCAATGATTTGTTTCAGGGCTGGATTGTAGCATGTTTTTGTGTTTTTTATTTGCTCTACATTTAACATACTGTAGCCATACACATCTTTACTTCTGCTTCTTTACAGTTATTCTCAGCCAGGATTCATTCATATTCAGGAGTCTGAAGTTAGTTAATCCCAATCAAACAGTGCTGCAGCTCATGCCGTTGGTTAGTTCCTCCTATTTGGCTGAAAGAAAGATAATTAATGAGATCAGCTGCCGTAGTGTTTGCTCGCAATGAAAACCTGCAGACTGTTGGCCCTCTGTGATAGATGATTCACACACGCTGCAGTTTTAATCCTCCTCCCACAGAAGGAGACACAGTGCCAGTTATAATACAGAGCAGTCTGGTTTCCACAGTCAGTACATCTCTCCTCATTTATGAATTAATGAACTGGATTTTGATTTCACAAACAGTTTGGCCATAAAGTGACGTCAAACCCAGGCTGCCACAAACAGTTAAATTGAGTGCGCTTAGATCATCGATACAGCGGCTAGCACCCTAAACACCCTTTTTAAAGTTTCCAGCTCCTCTGCCTTGAGGCCTGGAAGGAAAGCAGTTGTGTATTAACCAGAACATCATGACAGAACTACTGCTGAAAATTAGCCCTCTCTATACTTCCTGTAACTATAGAGTATTTGCAACCCTTATTCCAAAAAAGTTGGGACGTTGTGCAAAACATAAATAAAAACAGAATGCAATGATTTGTAAATCCTTTTTGACTGATATCAATAGAATATAATACACATGCAAGATATTTAATGCTCAGACTTTATTGTTTTTTGTAAATATACATTCATTCTGAATTTGATGCCTGCAAGACATTCCAAAAAAGTTGGGACAGGAACATGTTTACCACCGTGTTACATCATTCTTTCTTTTAAGATCACTCAGTAAGTGTTTGGAAACTGAGGACAATGAATGTTGAAGTTCTGAAAGTGAAATTATTTCCTATTCTTGCTTGATATTTGACTTGTGTTGCTCAACAGTCTGTCGTACTTCGCGCTTCGTAACACGCCACACATTTTCAATGGGAGTCAGGTCTGGACTCCAGACAGGCCATTCTGGTACCGTCACTCTTTTTCTATGAAGCCACAGTGTCTCATTGTCTTGCTAGAATAAGCAGGGATGTCCCTGAAAAAGACATTGTCCGGATGGCAGCATATGTTACTCCAAAACCTACTGTAGATGTACCTTCACAGATGTTCAAGTTACCCATGATGCTATGGGCACTAACAAATCCCCATACCATCACAGATGCTGGCTTTGAACTTTAAGCTGGTAACAATCTGGATGGTCCTTTTCTTCTTAAGCCACGAGGACACGACATCCATGATTTCCAAAAACAATTTGAAATGTGGACTGTGGAGAAATCCCTACATTCTTTGCAATTGTGATTTGAAAAAGGTTGTTTAAATCTGTTGGACATTTTCTCACAAAGTGACCATCCTTGCTTATGAGCCATCCTTTCAAACCCACCCATAATACCAGTTAACCTCTGGAATTATTGAAACAGGTGTTTTTTGAGCATTCAGCAATGCCCCCTGTCTTTTGTTGCACCATTTAAAGAGAATTGTAATGAAGTTAACAATGAATAAGTTGTTGTAGTGGCATTGAAAAACAATAAAAAATGTTAATCGAAAAAAAACAATTCAGTTGTAGGTCAAAAGGGATGTTCAAATCATTGCATTCTGTTTTTATTTACGTTTTACACAGTGTGCCAACCTTTTTGGTATTGGCTTTTAGATTAAACTTTTTTTTTTCCAAGGGTTTTGTTTCAACCGTAATGGCAATAAAATGATTCACTCGTTGTGGAGACATTACGTCCCCACCACTTTCAGTCTGTCCTCAGTTATACCTCAAGCACTAACCTCATTAAATCCCTATTACCTCACTGAAATAAGAGCTGAATAATGTGTCAGCCCACTGTGGTAAAGTCCTCACAGGCCTTGCTGCCATGGAGTTGACAGGGATTATATCTGCCATGAAGCTGCTGTGATGGATTCTAATCAAATATAAAGATGTGCTGATAAAGTCTAACTGAGTAAAGGAGGGTAGGAGCTAATGGGTTTGTATCAGTGCTGCATGTAACCCACAGGGAGGATGTTATCTGTTTGATGGCCACAATTCATGCATTAGCAGTCCATATCCAGAGGTAATTGTTTGAAAAACAATCTCGACTTGAATCCATTCTCAATCTCTAGATGGCTGCAAGCCGATCCACTCCACTGCATGGCACAGGCCTTAGACAATCAGAGTAATGTGTTATGTAGTACATAACTCTGCCAGCAGGGGGCTCTCCAGCCTTGACTGTACATGTGGGGCTATAAGCCTGTAAGCCCCGGCTGTCATCAGCAGCTGATCCAAATTATATGTACTGATGATGTTTACCGGCCTGTTCCAGCCTCCCTTCCAGCCTGTTTACTTTCCATTAGAGCCAAATTGACACCTTCCATTTGCAGGATCGAAGACGCACCAAGTTTCAGCTGTGTGTGGCCTGTTTTTAACCCCCCTCCCACAGTCTGTTAACTGAGCCTTTCCTGAGCTCCTCTTTTAGCTCAGACCTCTCACTGTGATATAAGTTACAGATGTAGCAGCATGGGCTGAATCCCTCCACTGGAATCAGATTAATAATACATGACAGTGTTGAAGTCAATCGACAAGCACTCTGAGGGGCTGAGATCTGAGACGGAGCTGAATGAAAGAGGCTGATGTGTAATTCATGGGCTTGTTAGACTGGGATTTGTGGCTTTCTCTCATTCACTGTCTGATGTTGTCCCCATTTTGATTTGGTGGTATTTAGTTCCCCATTTAAACTCTCATTATTTCCTCCCCGTCTCTTACACTTTTCATCCATTTGCCCAATCCAGCCTCCTTCCCAGTTCACGGCTGGGTGCCGCCCTCTCCGGCCCGCCTGTCTCTGAGTTCAGTCGACGAGACCACAGAGGGTTCAGAAACGACGTCTGGCTCCAGAGCTGGAGACGAGCACCAGTGGATGGTGAGTTAGAATCAAAGTTGGCATCAGAGTCGGTCCTTTGCGTCATGTGAACACTCAGCAGTCCCACTGGTGATGACAGTGCACTGCAAAATGATTCATCTTCCCAAGTCACTTTCATCTATTATTGAGTCCTTGTTAGAGGATTTCAACCTCTTTCAAATACTCTCTGGAAATGAGCGTCAGTATTTTTTTCAGAAGACATAACGTGACAGATTGATGCACTAGATTCCAGAAAGATTACACTTGATTTAAGAAAGTCCTCTAAACAAGTCAAAATGATCTTCTTTCATGTCACCACAAGGTCAATATAGGAACTGCTCTGGAGCTTTCAGTTATATCACACGGTCTTCATCAGCAGATGGAGTTTGCCCTGTAGTCATGGAACTGTAAAGGCTTCTCATCTATATTGGCTTAAAAACAAAGGTTCAAAGTTCATTTTTAATCTTGGAAACAACAGTTGACTGTACCTATAGTATAGCTCTCAGTCACATGATCTTTGTCACTTCAGCTTTAAAGTCAAAATGGACGAAAGGTTCTGAAAGTGATTTGAACATCTACAATTCCATGACCCTACCTGTCCGTCAAATAGTGTGTGCCATACTGTGATGTCCTCCTAATCACAGGACTGCAACAAGATCTACTAAAGCAGGAGTGTCAAACTAATTTTAGTTCATGGGCCACATACATCCCACTTTGATCTCACGTGAGCCGGACCAGTAAAACCATTGCAGAAAAACCTATACATAATAACACCTCCAAATTTTGAAGATGATGAAGCCCAAGATGTCTTAAGAAAAATAATATGTATGTTTCCCCCACATTCAGTCAGGCTACTGCTCACTGTCATTACATATGCATTTTTCCACACATTTCTACTCCTGTGTATTAACAATGGCATATCACACCAAACTACAGTGGACGCTGTTGAGGAAGCAGGTTAAGTTATTCAATTCAGTTCAGTTCATACTTTATTAAAGACACATCTCAAAGAGAGGTCCATAGCACCATAAGAGCAAGACAAACAACATACACAATTAAAAAAAAATTTAAAAAGAAAAAAGTTATCCCCGGCCTTACAAAGCATTTACAAACCTAAAGTTTCAGCAGTGACTTATCAACAGGCTCCCACCAGTATTGTTTTAAGATAGAAGTCTGATGCTGATTCTTTTGAACTGAAGCTGCTGATTAACAACGTTTCTGCACAATGTTACATATCTTTGAATATGACCATGATATGTATTCATTGTTTGTTCAGAGAAGTGTATTGTGGTCAGGATGAAGAGTCTCTGAAGCAGCATTTTACATAAAGCAGGCTACCCACTGTCTAACCTGACACCTCCACTTCACAAATGCATCAATATTAGGTGTGCAAAGTCAGCCAGTGGGCCAGACTGGACCCTTTGACAGGCTAGTTGTGTCCCACAGGATGTATGTTTGACACCCTTGTATGAACTGTGCAGTGATTTTTTATTTGGCCGCTGTTTTCAAGGTACAGAATGAACGCTGAAAATATTATGGAACTGTGCAAACTGGTCACTTTACTCAAGTATTTTCTTTTTTTGAAATGAAAATCGATGCCGCATACATGCCAGACACATATATAGGATGTAAACCTGCATTATTGGCTTCTTTGGCCATTTTGGGACAAGCTTATAAACAATACAGTGACATATTGTCACCTTATAAAGGTACTGGTTAAAGGCGCTGTATGTAAGAATGTGGCCAAAATGGTTACTGCACTCAAATTCAAAATACTGCCGCGAGTCTTGTCCGCCCCCCCTCCCCTACAGATTCAAGGTTGCTGGGCAGCGGCACGCTGGAGACTGATTTGTTTGCCCACGGGCGGCTGCTGTGGCAGGGCCGTGTCGCCGCGTCCTTGATCTTCGGTTTTCCAGCAGACCGTTCGAGCAAGTTCGGCTTCTCTGCTGCTAACGCTGCTGCCGGGATACAGCTGAGGAGAAGCCAGCTGCTCATGCTATGTATTGGGACACTGCTAATGCTGCTTGCCGTGCTGCTGTAGCTCAGTTGTAACTGTAACTGATGCTGAGACTCTACTGACTGCGTGACTGGTAGACGGCGGTGGGTGGCGCAACAGGCCAAAACACAAATTCAAAACATAAACATGATTTGTGGACCGCAAAAATTTTTTTTAGATGCGAATATTCTGGCTGTACTATTGTTGTCAGTGAGATCAGTATGTTATATGAACATTATTCCTTAGTCTCTGTGACATATTAGGATGATTTTACGACTATTTGCTTTAGGTTTCTTACATATAGCTCCTTTAAGTTAAGTTTAAGTTTATTCACTTTATTAATCCCCCTGAGGGGAAATTCAATGTTTTCACTCTTGCTTGTCATTTTAATGTTTATACGTGCCTATTTACACACATATATATATATATAATATCAAATATTCACCCTCATTTTAGCCCTCTTTTGGTCGCCACAAACTCCTGGTGCAAATATCTTACTCTTTATTGATAGATGTTCTCTAACACTTTGTGTGCTGATTGATGCTGGGCAGGCAATACTCTGTCAGATACAACTATTACCAGCATGCAGGGTTTCTCAACAATGTTAAGAAGCAATTTGAGAGCATAAGTGATCTCATATGGAGACACGTCTTTGTTTGAAGGGGGAAAGGATGGAATCTCATTCATTCTTATGTGTCTGATATTTCACTTTTCTTGTGCTCTTGTGTTGTTGCTAATTTGTGTTAGCTATTTTTTAGCATACAAATCTTATCTTAAAATATATTCTCGATACATTGTCCTAAAAAGGCTTATAGTGGAACATATAAAACAGTGTTCATATAGACTTACTTTTTGTGGTGCACTGTTTTGCCTTTGAAATTTTAAAGTGTTACAAGCTGTTATTTGACATCTATCTGTCTACTGCTCACTATAGAGTAAACTACTGAGTGGACTGAGTGATAAATCTCCTCTCTTCTTCTGCCGTGGGCTGTGTTCAGGAGGAGTTCAGCCACCCTGTGGAGAGTCTCGCCTTAACAGTGGATGAGGTCATCAACGTGCGCAGAGTGCTGGTAAAAGCAGAGATGGAGAAGTTTTTTCAGAGCAAAGAGCTCTACAATAATCTGAAGAAAGGCAAGGTAACGGAGTGGAACTTCCCTTGTTGCTGTTTCTCACTGTGCTGTGTTTACAGTAAATGGACTCAGTAACTTTGTGTGTGTGTGTGTGTGTGTGTGTGTTTTCTCAGGTTTGTTGCTGCTGCAGAGTGAAATTCCCTCTCTTCTCATGGCCATCTACCTGCTTACTGTGTAAAAGGTATCACATACATTTTTTGAATCCACATTTATCTTTAAATCCTACCTGATGTTTGTTCTTGACAACATGAAAGTCTACATGATTTTGGGGTGAACTGCCCTTTTGAGCTATGGTGATCTGAAATTGACAGTTTTAATATTGGAGTTGAGTACCCAAGCTGATTATTGTTAGTGATTTTGATACTCCGCCCAGTTAACCCCACAGATTTATCATGGTCATTTTATTACTTTAGCTAGTAAAAAAACGGTTTACCTTTTACAACATTCAGGAATACAGGTGTGTTGATTCATTTGTGTTCCTCTTACAGATCTGTCTGCGGCTCCTGCAGTGCAAAGGTAACTTTAATTACGCACAGTCTGAGTGTAATGATGGCAACCATCAAGTTTTTTTTGCTTTATTTTTATTTTCAGTATGGTCCTGTGCTTATTTGGCTGTTTATTGCTTTGTAAAACAACATCAGGACTTTAAATGTGATACTGTACCACTTGTTAACACTTTTATTATTTCAGTTTGTCAAGTACATCATTCAGTAAAGTGGCTGGTATTTCTGTTGACGTCAATTCTTCTGTTGTTCTTTTGTTGGTTTTGATTTGTTGCCTCAGTCCCAGACCGTGTCGGATGTTTGGTTCTGTGCTCTGTAGGTTTGAGATTTAGGCTGTTTGGATTTGGTGTGTTTTTTATTATTATAAATGACGTGTGTTGTGTCGTTTGTTGGGGTGCCGTGAGTCATTTGTGTTTTGTGACATTATTGTGGTTTGAAATATATGTTTGTTTGAGTTATTTACTCATTTGTGTCTGTGATTTGTGCCACAGCTAATGGTCATGGTTATTTGCTGTGTACATGTGAAGTCCTTAGTGTTTGTGTATTTGAATCTGTTGGCTTGGACTTGGAGACTCTGTAAATACTTAAATGAAGTATTTTGTCATCAAGTCTGTCTTTTCATAATGCCGTTCTGTTTCTCTTCTCTTTTCTGTCTCATTGTTTTTTTCTCTCATGCTCCTTCCTGTGCTCCAGATGAAGATTCCCTCAAAGAAGATGGCCCATATTCCTGTGTACACTGTAGGCTTCCATAGCACTCCAAAGAACACTGGACACAAAAGCCAAGTCTATAAGTGAGTCTGTGTTTATCTATAGAGACTGTTAGAGCCTTTTGGTGATTTATAATTTAAACATAAAAGGTGACCTAAAATGAGAGATTTATACATAAATGAGCCAAAAAAGTCTCTGACGTGAACAGTGATCAGTAAAAATATATTTTTGTAATCAAAACCAATGCAGATTTTGAAAGGTTTTTGCCTAGACAGCAGAATGGTTTAAAAGATTGCTCAGTCCATGCATTAGACACTTAAGTTTAGATCAATTGTACTCAACCTTTTTTGTGACAGGGACCCCTAAATTGATACACATGAGGTCATGGACCCCCATTTGATAAGATTTAGCTTCAGGGACCTCCATCTGAAAAGATTTTTGATGTTATATATGATTAAAACCAGAGTTCTTTTGCTGTTATCTACAGCTTATGAGATATTCATACAAGAAGTGGAACCTATGATCAGAGTAGTCACTCATGTGACTTTTACTCACATCAGGCTCACTTCTATAGTGAATAAAATAGGGAAATTAAACTATTTCCCTTTTTTCTGGGGACTGCCGTGAACTCTCTGGGGGTCACCAGTCCCCTGGTTGAAAACTACTTTTACGTTACGTATGTGTAGATGGCGCAAATATATCTCAGAGGTTTCAAGNTACTAACAAAATCTACTCCTGCTCCTGACCACTCGTAGTGCTTGTGTAAATTTAGTAAAGCACATAAATATTGCTTGTCACTATTGGAAATTACAATTTTAATTCGTATTGTGCTCTGTTATGTACACAATACACAGATGCCTTTGAAACACGTAATCTAAACATGACAAAATATTAAAAATATAACACATTTAGTTAAATTAGTTGGCAATTAGCAGGTTTAAGATCCAGATTAGGTTCATGATTGTGAATTATCTATGTAAATCGACTCAATAGATTACACGTTCTCTCTAGCTACATGTTGAATGATGATAATAAAAATATCCGTAAGGACAGCCGGATCACAGCCTCTTCGGCCTCGGGGCAGGGGCAGCAGGAGCAGCAGGTGGTGGAGCCACGAAGGAGCATGCGCCAGCTGAAAGAATTATTTGAGACAACATGTTTTTTTTTTTGTTTGTTTTGTTTTGTGGCTTTTTGATCATTTGAATGAATAAATCTGATTTGAAAAATGTTTAATTTACGTTGTATAAAACAGAGCTTTAGGCCCTTAAGATTCAAATAATTTGAAGACGATGCATACAAACTGCTGTAGGCTATATGTTATCCGTATCATTTGTTAAAATAAATGTTAAATAGCTCTACATTCCGACAGCCATCACCGATTTAGAGTTTATCCATTACGCACAAAACATCTCTGGTTTCCCGTTCCCACTTCATTCAAAACCCCACAAATGAATCTTCTGTTTGTTTGGTGACCGCTGTATTTTTTTGTGTGTGTGCTTATGCGTTTCTTTGCCTCCAGTTTCATATCAAACCATTTACGCTTCACCTCTGACATGGTTCTTTGTACTACAGACACAACATTAACAGCCTCTGTTACCTCCCTCCAGGCCTTTGCTTTGCCTGTCCCTGTCACACCACTACTAACTGAAGAAAATCAAATGTTTTTTCTTAAGTCCACTTCACCCAAAATTATTTCGATCTCCGCTTCGGAAAAACTCTTTTTCTTTCTCTCTATTTCTTTCTTTGCGCCATGACTGACAGGTCGACTGGATGCACCTACACCTCCTTATATGGTGGTCATTGGCTATTCATGGGCGGGGATTTATGCTAATCGCTGTCACTTCACGATGGATTGGCATTCATGATCATACACACATGTTTACGATCAAATCTGAGTTTCCCGCCACGTTCCTGAATCCAGAGTTGGGTTTTAGTAGAGTAGGTGCTATGTGCAAATCTACACACAGATTTACTCACTTTTCATGAATGAGACCCATTGTATTTTTGCCACACACAATTTTTATTTTTATTTTTTTTTTATTATTTTATTTTAAGAAATATCACAATCTAAGAGTCAGTTTGTCATGAGGCTCATTTGATCACATTCATACTCCTCAGAGGGTGCACCCTTTTGATTTTGGATTCTCAATTGGTCCAAAATGGTGCCATCCTTTTTCAGATTTCAGCATTTCAGACATCATATATCATAATTCAATGGACAACTAGCATTTAATTTGTATATTCATGTTCCCAAGGGGATACATCTTTAGATTTCTATGACCTTTTCTCTAGAATCGCCATCATGACAGACCAACACTAGTAGGGCTCTCACAAGATTTCGTAATGCACAGCTGTGTCTAATGTCAGCATGCTAACATGCTCACAATGACAATGCTAAAATGCTGGTGTTTAGCAGGTGTTATGTATACCATGTTTACAATATTAGTTTAGCGTCCTAGCTTTTTAGCATTTGCTAATTAGCACTAATTAGTCATCCATCCATTACTTTTGAATGTGTTTGGTCATAAACTAAATACAGGACAAATAACAGTTTTGTTGGGATGATGGTGCTCGGGGAAAGTCAGAGGAACACCTAAGCTATTACAATTCGTCCTGAGGGGGACATGAATGTCTGTACCAAATGTCATAGCAATCCATCCAACAGTCGTCAAAACGTTTCAATGAAAAAAAAAAAAAAGTCAACCTCATGGTGGCACTAAAGAAAAGTCAGGGGATCAGGCAAGTCATTAGGTGTCATCACCTGAGGAAGATTGGTACAAAATTAAGTTGCAATCCATCCTGTAGTTGCTGAGATATTTCAGTCTAGGCCCAAGTGACGGATCACCAACCGACAGACCAACATTGATATTCCTAGAACTAATACTGTGGCTAAAAATGAAAATAATCTGTATGCAATGTTGATATTTTAAAATGGTGAGGTGTAATGAAAATATCAGCCATAAAAGCCCTTTGTCTTACTTTTCTTCTTCTAACATACAGTATATGTGACTATTTACTGATGCTAAGGAGGTTATCTGAGGTCAGTGCAACTGATTAGCCTTTTTGTGTGTCATTTCCAAAGTTCACTCAAGGTAAAGTTGACTTGCCATTTGGACGGACTCTTAGCTTGTGACACAGAGACTGTGACCCAGTTTCCCCAGAGTCCTCTCAGCCAATCACTACGCTTGTTCAATCCAAGGACAAATTCACAGCTAGAGTTAAGAACACAGGTTAAATCTATTTAAGTCTGCCACTCCCTCAAGCCACTGATTGCTAACCTTTTCCAACCTAAGCAGAAACAGCCTATGTGCTTACCTCAACCAATTGCAGCGTGCCTACTCAATCCAATCACCCCCCTCCATCCCTTTGTTATATAATCAGAGCAGTGCCTCGAAGCAGCCATTATGTAATAATTACCCAGCTGTCATTAATATCCTCACTCCTCGTGCCTGTGTGAAGACAGACGTGGAAGTGAGAGTAAGAGGTGGACGGAAAGAGAGACGGTGCGACACTGAGTTGGAGAGAGAGTAGAGTGTGGTGCTGATCCACTGTCTTATACCTGTCATCACTACGCGTCCAACCGTGCAGCTATAGTAGGTTTTATAACAGCTAATGTTAGCATTATTTTACTCAGCAAAGACAACCTTAAGCTTTTTATTAGTGACTGTGATGGTTTCACCCCAGTCTTTTTTTTCTTTTCTTTGTTGCACAATCTGTCGTGTTGTGTTTGTATTAACTAAGCTTAGAAAGGCAAACAAGATAAAGCCTAGCTTCATTTTTCCAGCTGCTCAGCTGATTAACTGTGAGTAATGGGTTACACTATGTGTCTGTTTATCTTTTGAAAGGTCAATATTAATCAGTTTGTATGCCATTTTAAAATGCTGCCACAAGAAAGATATTAAATTATAGGTGGGACAATTCATTCAGTGAGGAAGAGAACAGACTGTGACTGTATAACAAGTGCAAAGACAAATGTGAAGTTAGGGTAATGTTTAAATCTCCCATTGATGGTCATCATAATCTGAGAAAATTACATTTATTTACACATAACAGGAAAACGAAACCAAATGTAACATAATGGAACTAAGTAGATGTAGTGTAGCACAAATAGGGCCGTCTCTTTTCATAGGATACTTAATCCTTAATCCCTAGACGACTCCAACAATATAATATTTGTATTATAGTATTAGTACTTTCATAGAGTTGGGGGACTCAAAAGAAACAGGTTTAAAAAATAAGATGGTAAAAATTAAAACAACAGAAACAAAGATATCCTGACTTTTAGTCCCTAGTAGGACTCAAACTTTAAAAATGCTATTTTCCATTTATTAACTGGACAGCATCGTTTTGATAAGACTCAGTCACACCAGAGAGAGGCACAGCTGAGTTCATCCATGCATCCTTAAGAAGATGTTAAGAAGCTAGCTACAGTCCGATGCCCTTTTGGCCATTCTGAGGTATAAAAGTGACACTGCTGAACTCTGGCAGTGACAGATGGCTGACAGAGCTTAGATTCAAGATTGCACAAAGGTGGACGATGTTTGATAAGGCATGGGGACAAGTATGGAGACATTCAAGTGGTCTATGGGAGGAAGTGTGGGATGAAGGATCACATATATTAGGTGGTAGCTGTATGTGTTTATTTGTATTACAAACTTTTTCTTCCTTACTTTTTTATTGTTTTGCCCTCTTGCTTTTTAACTACCTCGCCCATTAATGTGGATAAAAGCCACCAAATAATTGTAATTTCATGTTCTGTTATGCCGCTGTAATGCAGTCATTTGGAGAACAATTAGATTACTTTAATCTACCAATGTGGACTGTATCCAACAATATATTGCAATAAAATATTCGGAAGAACAAGAAGAAGCCAGCTCCTGTAGCTCAGTCACTACCTGGCAGTGTTGGGGTCCTTGTTACTCATAAAACTCATCTATTACACATTACTTGCCACTTTTAACAAAAAACAAAACCCAATTTATTACTTTAATTAATTATGCCCTGTTGAAAGTAACTTATTGCATTCATTTTGCATTACTCTGCAATATTGCCTAAACATAATGTTAAACACCACATGCACCCACATTTTGGCAAAAAACAAGTATCACAAGAATCGGGACAGCACTGCAGTGGACTATAATTGACTCACAATAACATCTATATACATATGTAAAAGAGGTTGGCCTTCCTAACACCGCACAGTACAAATATGATATAAATTATTATTATTATTATTATTATTATTATTATTATTATATACAAATATTACCTCAAAATAACATATCACTAGGCCTGAATAAAATAAAGCAAGAAACTAGCCTGTCTAACACCTTTAGATGACTAGAGAATTACAAGGAAAAAAAGTGTTAAAGTGGCATATAAACTGCCTTTAACAGCCAAACACATTCACTCAAGTTGCTCACTCACCAACCATGGCTTTATAGTAGATTCGTCCAGTTTATTTGACTTGTTTATAACAAAAGCAGTGGTTATACATTATGAGGTGGAGATCCTTTGGTGGAGATCATTTGATGATGTCCTTTTCTAACCGCTCATTATGCAGATAATTGAAGAACTTTTTAACATGTTACTGTAATCGGCTTACTTTGTAACGCAGTGTTTTAATCACTTACTGCAATCATGTTACTTTACGTTACCCCCGACACTGCTAACTGGACAGTAAGTTAACAGTTTATGCAAGAGATGTACATCACTATTGACTCTTATCTCATGAATGTCTATAAACTGGGCCTTTTTTTGTGGAGCAGTTTATACTCCCAACAGAGGAGTGTTAAATAAAAGTTGATGATTTAATGCAGCCGATTGTCTATAATAGTTTCCTCTGTTTTAGACTCTTTGGTTTTCCATTACCTGAAAGGTCAGCATTGTTAAGACAATTTTCTGTTGGTGATAGCACAACTTTATATTATGTCTGATTTCACCAAAGTTGAACTAAAGGTGAGAGATTTAAGCATTTTTGCACTATGTCGCAGTGAGTTGCTTTCACTGAGATGAAATTATTTTCCTTTAAACCTTTTCTGTTTTAAATGCATTATGATATGTCCATTAAATCTTATTTTATTATACTTAGATTAAAGCTGCTAAGTCAGATCCCTGCTGTGATTTTTTTTCAGACATTGATATCAGTCAGAAATAACAGTAAAACTTAATTTCATCAAGTGTGCTACACCACTGTATTCATACTCATGCACTGTATTCATTCATACAAAACCTTCAAATCCACAACCTACAACCCTACAAATCCAATCCTTCCTGTCCCCTTGCAGGTCCCTGCGCACCTTATCTCGCCGCTCAGTGGAGGAGGAGTTCCCCCACCTGTACGCTCACGGCTGCACACTGCGTGACATCTGCGCTGAATGCACCAAATTCGTGGCTGATGTCATTTCCTCAAGCCGCCGGAGTCTAGACATCCTCAACAACACTCCCAAGAGGGAGGCCAAAGCTGCTGCTGCCCCTCAGAGACCACCGCTGCAACGTCAATCACACCTCGAGACTTGCCCTCAACCACACCCTCCCCAGCCTCACCCTCAGTGTCACCCTCCACCTCACCCACAGTCACAGTGTCACCCCCCGCTCCCTCCCCAGTCCCATTATCAACAGCAGCGGCTTCTTGCATCATCGCCGTCTCTGTCGCCGCAGTTCCACACCAAGACGATCAACAACATGAACCAATGACTGACTTTTTATCCCTTTCTGCCCACACACACACTCCCGAATGAGTCGAGCTCCTGCACTGCACTGTTCACACACACATGCACAGAAAGAGTAGGGTTCTTACAGGGTTCTGGTGGTTACATGCACATCAGTGATGACTCAAAACAGCCATTGGACTGGTTCAAACCATAAATGAGAATACATATTCCAGTGAGGGTCCTTGGAGTATTAAGTGCGTTATTACTGTAACAGTTATGCTATGATATATACAGATAAAAAACTTTTTCTGGAGCTGTATAGAACCCTTTTTAGTAAGAATGTAGTGACTCTAAACGACCACCACCTCACCCATTATCCACTTCCCAACTACATCATCTTCCATATCCCAGCATCTCACCCAGCAGATGTGCACACACGCATACAGAGCCCCGCTTGTCACTTTATAAGGTTTGAATAAGAAGCAGTTCTGTCTGTATCTGTCTCATCTACAGCACCATGACTTCACTCCCTGACGCTCACAGCTGCTGGGAGGCAGGCGTATGGGAGTAGAGAGCAGATGAGGAAAGTACTGACGGTTGTTGGAGTATACACTGTGTGAGAGAGGGTGGAGGTGGTGTTGGGTGGTGGTGGTTTGAGAGGAGGACAAACGCTGCGCAGCATAGAGTCAACATGTAACCCTAGCATTTTAGCTCTCTGTGGTTGCCTTGTTTTTGTCATGAATGTAACTTAGAGGCACAGAATCAGAATTGTAAAACGATAAGCTTGTACACAGCATAGTAACATTTATTTTTAATCATCCAAAAAGGGATTTCTAATGAGCGGCTGCTGCATAACGAGGCCTCTTGCATTTTAGACATGCTTGTAAAGTCCCAGGTACAGCTGGACGAGGTATGACGGCAGCGACACTGTGAATGTATCAGGGTGAAGCTGCAGACTGCACCTTTAACTGATGCAGCATGACGATGCTGATGTGAAGCGAGCAGATGAAACTCCCACCTCTCTCACTCCCCATGGATGCTTGCAATCTGCTCTGGTTTTGTAAACACTAAGTAAACCTCAACTGCAATAAAATCTAATGACAAACAAGACCAGTGCTGTGTCTGAGTTTTACTGTTTACATGCTGTGTTCAGCTGTTCTGTGCGGCCACATAACAGCCTCTGTGGTCACAGGGCTGCACTTCATGAATAAATACAAACATGATGTACATTTCCTTTTTTACTGTCTTGGAAGAAAAATCCAATTGGAACATATTAAATATGCAAAAGTAATAACTGAACACTCTCTGGAGGGGTGATTAAAACAAAAGCATTTTGTTTGTACATACAAAACCATTTGTAATCAAAGCAATCAGATAGAGGAACTAAGCAGGGAAGATGGCTTGATTACAAACTAGGTCATATTTAGATACACAATATACACTCATTGGACACTTTATTAAGTACACCTTGCTAGTACAGGGTTGGACCCCCTTTTGCCTACAGAAGTGCCTTAATTCTTGGTGGCATAGATTCAACAAGGTGCTGAAAACATTCCTCAGAGATTTTGGTCCATATTGACATGATAGCAGATTTGTCGGGTGCACATCTATGATATGAATCTCCCCTTCCACCACATCCCAAAGGTGCTCTATTGGATTGAGATCTGGTGACTGTGGAGGCCATTGGACTACAGTGAACTCATTGTCATGTTCAAGAAACCAGTTTGAGATGATTTGATCTTTGTGACATGGTGTGTTATCCTGCTGGAAGTAGCCATCAGAAGATGGGTACACTGTGGTCATAAACGGACGGACACGGTCAGCAACAATACTCAGGTAGGCTGTGGTGTTTAAACGATGCTCGGTTGGTACTAAGGGGTCCAAAGTGTGCCAAGAAAATATCCCCCACACCATTACACCACCACCAGCAGCCTGAACCATTGATACAAAGCAGGATGGATCCATGCTTTCATGTTGTTTACGGCGAATTCTGACCCTACCATCTGAATGACGCAGCAGAAATTAAGACTCATCAAACCGGGCAACGTATTTCCAATCTTCTATCGTCTGATCTTCTGGGGCCGTATTCCTAAAGATTCTTAGCGCAAAGAGTTGCTCCTAGTGGCCAAATTCTAAAAAAATTCTTAGAATCATGATGTTTTCTAAGAATTTCCCCTCAAAGTTAAAAGTAGATCCTGGTAAAGATAAAAGGTATTCCTAAAGAATCTTAGCTCTTAAGAGAGCTCCTAAGATGAGATCTGTTAAGAGCAGGGAGGAGGACTTTTAAGAGGCTTAGGAGTTACTTTTATTCTCATTGACCAATTGAGCCAGAAGCAAACACTGTTCCTCTGTCCAGTTGGGTTTCCTACTTCTTTTCTTCTCCATTGCTGTTCGGTTTGTGGAAGATTTGAATGCCAACCAACACTGCTTCTTATAGGCTGGTTAGCAATCACAGAAATTGCTGAAAGCTGAGCCATTTTACCCTCGTTAATACCAAATGGATGAAGTGCAAAAATTATCAGCATGGTAAATGAATGTAAGCAAATAAATATAACTATCAGCATGTGAGTACTGTGCAAGTGGGCCTGAGTTTTCACACATTTTGTAGGATAATTTTAAAGTATCCTTACTATTTATTTAAAAGATATTTTCTTTTTATGTAAAATATTATTTATAATTACACAGTCTTCATAGAGATTAGATTCTATGATTAAGTCTGTTGATCTGACGGTCCATTCTATGCCCATTATCACCAAAAGTGTATTTTCATCTAGCTTTTAGGATCAACCAATCACACCTTTTGAAATGATGATTCATACCTAGCAACGGGGTCAACCACACCTCCTCACTAAGATAAAAGTTTCTGTCCATTCCTTGCTGAGAGTTCTCTGAGAATGTTCTGGAATCACTCCTAAGCTAAGACTCCTTGCTAGGAATTTTTAGGCTAAGTTAGGAGCTCTGTGAGAGGATTCTCAGAATCTTTGGGAATACGGGCCCTGGTGTCTAATTTTGGTGAGCCCGTGTGAGTTGTAGCCTCAGTTTCTTGTTCTTAGCTGCCTAGGGTAGCACCGGGTGTGGTCTTCTGCTGCTGTAGCCCATCTGCTTCAAGGTTCGACATGTTGTTGGTTCAGAGATTATGTATCAAAATCTAATTCTGGAAACATATGGTGAATTCACTAATAGTCAACACTAAAATATCATCACAGCATCAAATTCTTGGCATTTGGTCTAAAATATCATTATATTTGATTTTCTCCATATCGCCTTGCACCAGTAGAAACTGAAAGTCAAATTCCCAACATCTGTGTGATGCCTCTCCTGTCCACGCACTCTGACAACAGTCTCCACAGGACTCCTGAAAAGAGAGCTCTAGTATATTTCAAACTGGACTCTATTTTTTCAGTGTTTTTGTGTCTAAGGGACTTGTAACAATTTCTGAAATTGGTCCAGTATTGAGAGGGAGTCAGCAGCCACAAAACAGGCCATAATGTAACCACTCGAGACAGGTGCGCCCCTTCAATTTACGTCCATTATAAATTTTGTTTTTGCCTCTGACAGGCTCAGACTGTTACTATGAGTGTCTTACAACATTATGGAAAGTAGCCTACAGAGAAATGAAATATTTGTCTGTACCTTTAGCTTGTTCCTTCTGTGGACTTTTCAGGATTACCAAAATCAGCTTAATATTTAGCCAAATAAGAGTAAGATGTTTTCTGTACTCAAACAAACAAACAAACTTACCTTCACTCCTCTCTCCGGTTGTCACTCACGTTTCCTCCGTTCTCTTCCTGCAACAAGTCACCAAGAGTCACCTCTTGTGAGATTTCATAATGAGACCTCTCATTTAGCAAGACATGGACACAGAACAGACTGGAACAAGAGTAAGATATGGAAAAATCGTTAATTTCTTTGTAGTTTCCTTTCCATAATGATGTCAGACACTGCTAATAATAATTTGAGCCTGTCAGTGGCAAAAGCAGGCACATTTAAAGGAACAGTGTGTATGCTTTAGGGGGTTTAGTGGCATCTAGCTATGAGAATTGCAGATTGCGACCAGCTGAAACTTCTCCCAGTTAGAATTGCTTCAGTGTTCTTTGTACCAGGACCCGAGTTATCCCCAAAGGTCTCTTTCTCTAACGTGAAAGCAGTTTCACGTTACAAATCAATGTTTCTTTGGCACGTCACAGACAGGCTGTTTGCCCATCACCTGCTAATGAGTGCCCACCGACTTTCTCTGATAACTTCAGGTCCAGATGTTCAGGACCCACTGATTTACTGTAAAGTGCTAAAACTTTGTCCTATCTAGAGCCAGTGTTAGGTAACAAATACACAGTGATAAGAATGATGAAACATACTTATTATACCTATTACTCTCTTTCAATACTGGATCAATTTCAGTTGTTCCCATGAGTCATTTAGACATGAAACATGGGAAAACAGGGTCCAGGTTGGAAAATACCAGAGTTCCCCTTTAAGACCTGTTCCAAGACCTCTTACCAGCTGAATCACTCAGATCCAAGCCTTATAGTACACTACTATGCATTGCTGTGGTCCTCTGGTAGAGGTTACGAGTGTGAGGCAAATTAGGAACAATTCTTGTGGGGTTATAGTCTGTTGATCAGACTCAACTGCCACTTCATGTCACTTCAGTTTTTCAGCTGTTGTTCCTGTCTGCAGACTTTATGGGAGTACCAGTCAGTAACAACTTGCACATCTGTCTAACCAACAATACTTTTGACACACAAGTTGTGGTATTGCTTGCTGCTAGGGTTAGAAGAAACGGTACAGATCAAGAGCAGAGACTGTATACAACTTGTACAACTCTCAGCCATACTTTTCTCCAACCAGACATGGATGCAGCTCTGTTGCTACCAAACTGTGGAGAAGTTGATGATGTTCCCATTCTTAAAAAGATATCATTCATCAGCTGTTTTTCTACCTGGGGGAAGCAAAACACCAGACCTATTTGAATCAGTGGATCAGAAGGTGTGGTTGGCAATTCAGAGGTCTGTAAGCTGGCTATTGGGATTAAGATTGATAACTCCTATTGTATTTCTCACATCTGGGCTCATTAGTCTCCTTTGTGTCTTATTGTGGTACTTTTTGAGCAATTTTGTGTTGTTGTTGTTGTTGTTGTTGTTGTTGTTTTTTTTTTTAATAAATTCTTGAGTAGCCAACCCCAAAACTCCTGCAACAACTGATGAGACATAATTGACTATGGAAATGGCCATCATATACTGCTATCATAATGTTCTAAGCCCCTATATACTCAAACTCTGACATTTTATTAGATACCTACCCAAAACACCATATTTTATTTATGTATTTATTTTACAGATTGACTATAAAAACCAGACACACAGTGCTGATCTGGATCTCATTTGATATTCAGGTTTTAAGCTTTCAGATGATGGATACCACTGCTGTGTGGCATATACTGTTGACCTGCTATCTTCACCTTAAGATCCACTGTCCCCCTAAAAAGACAGAAATAGGTCTATGGTGGGTCTCTAAGGGTTAATGTTCAACTAGCCTATATACTTCAACAGCATAATATAATTCCTGAAATTCAGTTATGAATTTGGTTTTGGTGTACCAACCCAAGATGTTCAGTGGCCCCATCTGGCCACACTTATGAAGAATTTCTGGGGACACCACTGTCCCTAACAAGGAAACAAGTAATATTCTGCTATCTACATTCAGTTGTCACTTTTTAGGTTCACCTTGCCAAAACTAACTCTGTATTATATAGCGGTAAAACAACAGTAAATCCTACCACATGTTCTGTTTTACAATATATTGTTTTTACTATGTGGTCATTTTGGAGGCTGTAGTTTGTGTTGCTGTATTCATTCTGACATGTCTCATGCAGCACTTCATCTCTTAATGTGTAGACAGAGCTTTCCTAACATGCAGGTTTGCAGCAGCTGAGCTCTTTTCATTGAAAATTAATGGTTCCAACTGATCGCTTGGTAAAATGCTTTCAGATGTGACTCTGCTGGTGGTGAAGAATAAAGGCACAGGAAGCAAAGCCCATGTTGTGACTCCACTGGAGGTCTGAACTGTGAAGAGTGTGTATCACTGCATTGCAGCTTGGTGGTACTGTTAAAATGTCTCAGTTATAATAAATGGAAGATGTGATTTTTTTAACTAAAAGAATCTAAGAATCTAATCTAAGTGACACCTGGTGACCATGTGAACATCATTTACAGTAGGTCTACATTAGATTACATCCAGAAAATACAGACAGAGAAACTGTATTAAATCATGTGTAATCATTATGACCGTGTTATATTGTCTGGTCACCTGTAATGTCAAGAATTCATTTTCTCACTTTAAAGAAGATAAATATTTTTAATAGTTTATTCTATTGTGATCTTGAGCAAAGTATTTTGTGAGCTCAAGAAAAAAGAATCTGAACATCACATCATTAATATTTTGTGAACTCAACAAAAGACTGTCTTCTTGTTGCATATTATTTTGTGATCAAAGGAAAACAAAACATTTGAAGTGATGCCACACATGGCCTGAGGGAGTTCTTGCTTTGGGATTAACAGTGTTTTGAGTTATTTCAGTCTGATATCAAAGAGCCAGAGATTTCACACTTGTCACGAGCTTTAAAGTTTTCTTGAGGAAATGTTTTGCCATCTCAACAACACAGCCTCAGTTTGATCATTAAACGGCTGTTCTGTGGCACAACAAATTGGTTTTGGCACCTTCTGAACAAAAAGAAAACTGCTTTCTAGAGTGGACATGATTTATACAGCAAAACAAACAGTGCCAAATCATTATGATTGTTTAGACAGAGCAGTTATTGACTTCAGGGACAATGATCATAGTAAAATGCCAACAGGTCCATTCTGACTGTTTGCCTTAATAAGTGTTTAACTCTTTGTGAATGTAATGAATGAAAACCTCCAGATTATGAAAACAAAGTTTACAGAAGGCCGCAGAAGCCATTACAAGAGGCAACACAGTGAGTGAACTTAAGTAGGCTTTGTCCCCGGTCAGTGGATCTATAATGCGTCTGTGGACGCCCCGCCTCTATCATCATGAATAAATAATCTACAGGTCTACATGTCTATTGGCTGTGTCTGTCTGTCATCCGGCTCTGAGTTCACTCATCAGACAGACAAGCTGCGTGAAGACACAATGAATGACATTGAGGGAAACAGGAAGTTAGGTGATTATACTTTCGAAATAAAAGCGTAAAATGTAATAAACTTTCATTACTGTGCATTCATTGACTTTTTAATGTTTTTTATGGTCACTTTGAGGTCCACCTGTGATGAATGCTTCAGTCTGTGTCAATATCTTTATTGGTCTGAGTTCAGACTCTGATCTTACACTTACACCAGTGAGGAATTCAGAGGTGCACCACCTAAGTCGACTAAATATATATCAGGAAATGTTTTATCATTTTATTCTTTTGGGCGTAGTTTTGTTTTTCTGTGTTTTGATGAAAATCTATGCTCCTGTTTGTGCATTTTCTGTATAAATTTCTGTATAAAAAGAAAGTAAGTTTTCTCTTACTTTTATGTTTTTATTGGGGGGTACAAATGCACATGTTTTAAATACTGATGGGGACATGTCCCCTGTATCCCCCCTAAATCTGCGCCTTTGAAAATTTGCAAATTTGGTCAGTCGTAATATATTGTAATATAATAATACATAGCTTTTAAATGTTGTTTGTTTCATCCTTTATTATGTTTTATAGGCTATAATTATTAATCTACTGTTTTTATATTAATAATTTATATTATTTTATTACTAATATTATTTTTTACTCTTTTTACTTTTACTCTCAGCCTGTGTTTTGTGCTGTTGTGACACGTTTTTTTTAAAATTTCATATTCTTGAGAAAAAAGGAGGATAATTTATTTTACATTTAGTGACTGAAAGTAAAGGAACAACCAGAAAGCTTTCTGTTGGACACAGTGTCTGCAGTTGTTACTTTCGTCTTTTTTATGACTCCAAAATGTGATCATAACAAAATTCATGTGCATGTCTTTTATTTTGAAAGCATCAAAGGGATATTGTGTCGCTGTATTCTCACTAACTTCCCAGTGGAAGTCGGACAGCTTTAGAGCTTGAACTCAACAACAAGCCCTCTAAGGCTGGCCCATCACAGCCAGTTGTTCTTTTCTTTTTTCTCTCCCTCCTTTTTTTGGGAGTCCTGTTTTTTCTCGCCCTGTGCCTGCAGTCCTAGTGTGAGTGGGTGTGTCGATGCGGGCCAGTGTAGCCTAGTCGCAGCTTGTGCGCACTCTGAAAAAGAGGAAAAAGTTGATGATGAGTTTAGTGTGAAAGCGGCCCGCCTCGGAGCAGGCTAACCGTACAGGAATGGCAGTTTGGACCAGAGCGGATAAAAACGGTCAACTGGACCTTCTGCTCCGCGACCGCTGGATCCGAGTGGCCGCCGAACTCACCCGAGAAACGCTGACTTTAACGGCCGAAGCGGATGCAACCGGACAGGGGGGCAATCACTGGGACTACAACAACTCTTCGGCGGGCCTGCGAAATGGCATGTCGAACGGAAACGACCCGGGAGCGAGTCCGGGGAACCCTGGCCGCGGTCCGTCCTCGGGTCAAGACCAACTCCAGAACCAGAACCACGGGGGCAGGGGGCGCAGCAGCAGCCCGGGGCGCGGGGGTGTCAGCCGGGGTCAATATGACGGCAACTACGGTTTAAGCAGCCCTGGAAAGTACCCGAATAACGGCACAAACTCTGACTTTGGAAGCCCCGGATCCAGCTACGGCAGTCCCGGGTCCAGCTTCGGGTCAAGGCAAGGCGACGTCCCCGTCAGTCTGGACGGTTCCTCTGAGGCTGTGCGGAAGGTCCGAGTTGTCAAACAGGAGTCTGGCGGGCTGGGGATCAGTATCAAGGGGGGGCGCGAGAACCGGATGCCCATCCTCATCTCCAAGATCTTCCCGGGGCTCGCTGCCGACCAGAGCCGGGCTCTCCGGGTGGGCGACGCGATCCTGTCGGTGAATGGGAACGACCTCCGGGAGGCGACACACGACCTGGCGGTCCAGGCGCTTAAGAAGGCGGGGAAAGAAGTAACGTTGGAGGGTAAGTTGGCCAACGCGAGAGCGAGGACTTGCAAAGGCCGAGATTAGACTCCTGTGGTCTGGCTGCACACATCTGTGCATTTTCATTTTCAGGCATGGGCGTCTGTGTGGTGGGCTACTTTCTCTGTACATCAGTACTCTTGTGAGTCCGTCCTGAACATGCAGCACATTATCATGTAGAGACTAAACTATTAAATGTTTTAAAGCAGTCTTAAAAATGGAGCATGCAAATAAAATAATATTGATAATTGTTTCATTATTAACATTTCACCTTGACTGACTTCTGTAAGTTGAAAAGTACATTAAATAGGCCTACAAGAATAGCTGAAGGTGTATACTAAGTGAATTGATGCTCCTGTTATACTAACAAGATAATGCACCGATCAGCACCACAGCTTTGGCCCCTTTTAAATAAGAGTAATAGGATGCACAATGCCATCACTAAAGCTCACTGATACTCCACACACGCTCTGGTTTTTAATGTTCACCACACACAACCATTTCTGTAACACGTTATGACACAACAGCAGACAGTCTGACATAAACAAACAGGCGCACAGTAACAGTTGATCTATGGTCAGGTGGAGGGTGGAGAGGAGGAAGGCTTGAATATCAACAGATCAGAAAGCCTTTGATTAGTGTAAACAGGAAAGTAACCACAGTTGTGGTCACAGTCAGAGTTGGATACATTGTGCTCTGTACATTTGAATGGCTGTGGGTTGCTAAAGATAAGAGGTCACAGTAGACAGAAGCAGATGAGATCAGTCTGCGTTATTACACTGACACTGTCCAGGAGAGAGACCGAGGGAGAGAAAGAGGAAAACATGTAAATGATCTGTGGGGAAATTGGCATGTTGCAACCGCATAAACTAGAATATAACCAATTATTTATATATACATATATATATGTACATATATATATCGGGAAAGTCAAAAGCAGAAATGTATTAATGAGCAGTTGTGTAAGCATGGCCCAAACAAAAGCAGTGGAATATACTCAGCAATGTAAAGGAAATGAAAACACACCCTATAGTAGATGCAGTGTGTTAAATATTGTATGTGAAAAGATAAAAAATTCAGTCATATTGTAAAAAAAAAAAAATGTACTCACTGCATTTAGAGGATGACATCTATATATGAGACATATAAATTAACATCACTCATTTTGGCCAATATCAGATTTTAGAAGTAATATTTGTTTGTAAGTCCAGTCATTTTTACTGATGGTATGGGACAGTTTTTTCTGTCTCCTTTTTCTTAGTTTGTCTTCTGATACAATAGGGCTGCAATTAACGATTCATTTCATTGTCTTTTAATCTGTCGAATATTTTCTCAAGTAGTTGTTTGGTCAGAAAGAGTCCAAGCCAAGGCCCAAGATGACCTCAGTGACATCATCTTTTGTCCACAGAGCAAACACATTCAGTGAAATGTCATAGAGGAGTAAAAAAAACCTGAAAGTATTCACATTTAAGAAGCTGGAATCAGAGAATTTCACTTTTTTCTGGTGATTACTGTAATAGATGGCAACTAACTTGTAGCTCTACAATACAACTAAAAAACAGAAGAGAACTGATAATACAAATAAGCCACATGATGACCTTAAATGATGTGGTTTAAAAATGAATTAATCAGTAGTTATTATTATAATAATAAGGCTAAATCAAATGACTGTGTAATGAGAGAGCATCTCAGCTAAAGCCTAAACAGCTAAAGAAAGAATGAATACTAACCGTTATCACTTTGATATGGGGGGAAATTTATTTTTATGGGTTTTGTCTTCAAGAATGCATCACATGTGCGTAGTATTCACATAAGCAGCTCCACAGAAATTCATAATAAATTGGTTCTGCTAAAGCTTTAGTGTGCAGTCACGCATTCCACAAAACTATTCACATATCAAAAAGTCTACTAACCTTCAGATGGAAGGACTGTAACACATTCCAAGTAACACGTACGTACTGTAGATTGAGTTCTCATAGGGAAATGTGTTAGGAGATTCGTACTGGCTTCATTATAGGACTGAACAGAGCTCCATGGAGATGAGTTCAGATCCTGAACTGCGCTGATATAGAACAGTTCAATCTTTAGAAAAGTGGAAAAAGAGTGAATTGGAGGGAGGGAGGCCACAGAGCCCTTGGGGTTTGGAAACTTCAGGCCAGGAACGGCTAAATGCAGTGTTTAATGGTTTGGAATGAACGCTGGATGAATACTGACGAGCAGGAATTGTAGGAACTAATCAATGTGTGACACATTTCCACTCAAGTCAAAACAAGACCTGTTTTTCACCTCCCAAAATAAACCAAGGTAAAATGTTCTGGAGTCATTAAGCCATCCACTGTGCTGATTGAATAAAAACCCGAGGCTCCAAAATTGTATCAACATCAGTTTTTCCCTAACCACAAATGATCCAAAATACTTTGTTGTTATACTCGGTTAGTTTTTTCAGCTTGTTGATGGAGATCTTCAGATAGGCGACTCTGACATGCACAGAGTGTAACACAGTGTATCATTTCAAAACTGCTGGTGGAATTTGGCTTATTGCAACTGACATCGGTATCAAAACATTTGCAGCAACCCTCAGGCGCAGGCAGGATGTGCAGCCTTGTGCCACAGCCACAGTCCAGACGTGGGCTGCTGTTTGGAAGAATGTGTCAGCTGCCTGTCACTGTTTGTCAGTTTGACAGGGGCTGAGTCGTGTTGTTTGTGGACCGGCTCCCTCTCCCAGTCCCCCTGTGCGTCTGCTTGGCTCCCACAGCCCTGAGAAAGAAACAGCCGTCAGACAGAACGAGGCTTGAGTTTCCAGACTGCTATGCCATGTACACAATACATAAACCCCCAGATATTCTCACAATTAGCTTAGGTGCCCCACATTCCTGACCTCCGCTTGCATGTGTGTATTTAGGGCAAAGGTCAACACTGGTGGCTCCGGCTTGGATGATTTGTGCTGCTTCACGCTTAGGACACACTTTCAGTGATATTTATTGCTGGTGCTGCATGACGGAAGAGAGAGCAGAGATGCACATATGAGCAGGGGATGGATACAAAGGGCAGGGTCTTGTGTTTTTTTTTTTAGGAAAGCTCGTCACCAACCATTTAATTGAGATGCATGTTGTTAGTCTAATCTTGGCCCATATCTGTGAACACTGCTGTAAATACCAAGCAAAAGTACTGAAATCTGCCAGTGGCCTGAGTCATTTTCACACTGCAAATCAACTTACTGGTCTCAATCATGTCTTGTTTTCTTAGTCACTGTTGAAGCTTCATGGCACAAAGGTCAGCTGTAGGAAGTCATGTTATCTTAATTAAGATGATTCAATCTTGTTTGTTTTTATCCAAGATAGATAATCTTGTCAAGCAGTTGTTGTTGTTTCAAGATGTTCAGTCCATACAAACAAGTTAGGTTTGGATGGTTGTAGGGATCATGGGACAATATATGACTTTTTTTTTGTGGATTGGGGACAAAAAACACTCACAAAAAGTTGGTCATAGTGAATTTCCGTTATCAGGATAATCATGAATATTGTGTCCAGCAGCACCCAAAGAGATGGCTCGGCAACCAACAATAAGAGATTCTCTGCAAAAACAAGCCGTATACGCATCAACCTGAAAAAACAAAACAAAACAAAAGATTTTAATCAAGCATTGAGATATTTCGTTTCGAAAGACATGATGCCATTTCAAATAGTTGAAAAGCCTGTTATTTTTTTATTTTATTTTTTTTTTTAAGATTTTTCATTTTTGCTTTCAAGGATGTTTCCTAAAAAAAAATGATGTGTGCCCTATCTGTGACGCATTAAAAATATTTATTTCTTAACAAAATGTAAGGGAAAATGATTCTTGTATGTTTTAGGGCCGTTTCAAGAGTTTTAAGCATATGTAATTTATTATTGGCATAATATTGTGAATCATAATTGGCCAGGATAATGCTGTGTTGACATGAAATCAGGCAGATGGTAAACCAAAGACAACATTTTGCAATAGAGATTTTGTATTGTTTACAAAGAATGCAGCAAGTTACGTTTAATAAAATTATTTTGGTTTATTATGCCATTTAATTATTCTAGTAATCCAGTAATTGTCTAGATCACACATGTTTTCTCCCTGTGTGAGAGTTCTACGCTACATCTGGTTGTAAATTCCATCATGAAGGACCCCAAAAAGTTAAAATATTTTAACGTTGAGTGCCATTGTTGTCTATGGCTACTGGTGCTGGTTTTCTCTGCCAGCCTAATGTTACTGTCCTGCTCTCGTCCACTAAAACTATATCCAGTTTGCCATCTGCCTGATTCCATTTCAACGCAGCATAATCATGCCAATTTTCCTATTGTCTCCTGCCAAGTTGGTTGTCCCACTAATAATTGAGATGTCTATAAGGAAGAAACTAGATGTCAACGGTCAGACCAATTTTAAAACTCCATTATGAATATTTTTGTATAACTATGGATAGAATGTGAGTTATTGCTCAAAGTCATGATCCCACAGAGAATTAATACCAACTCTGCAGTTCCCTGTCGACCTGCAGAGCTTTTTAGGGTCTTTCAGCTCATTGTTTTGGTTTTCTGGCCCACAAACTGACTGGTCAGACGGTGTTTTGTCAAGGTCCAATTTTAATTCACAAAATCCAAGTTGGTTGCCGGGCAACTTCTCTAGCTTACACAATATTTTTTTTTTGCAATGAATTGTATCTGCTTTTTTCAGCCTTGGTACAACTAACAAGTTGAACAGCAAGGGGAACAAGTTTGAGCTCAGTGAAATCTCCATATTAGCCAGTCAATTAGCCTATCACCTAGGGCTGCATTACCGATTAATCTGCCAGTTATTTTCACGATGAATTGAATAATCACTCAGTCTATAAAGTGCCAAAAAATATGAAAAATGACAGTTTCTAGAGCCCAAAGTGACATCTTCATGTTGCTTATTTTGTCCAACCAACAGTCCAAAACCCAACGTCTCTGCGTTCACTATCTTAAATAATAAAGAAAAGTAGCAAATTCTCACATT